GGGTCCGAAAGCTGGTCAGATGGAAAGTGTGCCAACTGAGAATTAGCCACCAATCAGGTTCGCGTGTTCATTGTCGAAACCGGACTAAGTGAACTTCCCCATTCAACGTCTGTCACACATCAACATGTATCTGCTTTGTGATCTACGGAAGTGAGACATTCCACTCGATCGTAGTGCACGGCCAATGAATTTACACACTGTCGATACATTTAGTTCAGCGGCATGAGAATAAATCTCAGTAGCTTGGGCTGGATTGGTCGACTGGGGCCTACCAAAGACGCTATTCAGTGTGCCCAAAGTGTGGTCGGCCATATTCGGTCATTTTCGACCGCATGGCGGGTTTCAATGCCAATATCTCTAGAAGCATATGACTAGAGTCGAAAATGCTCTCTGACTTTTCATAATCGAATGTTTGCAAAGTGCGTGCTTAATATGATTATTATCCACTAGGGTCTAAAGGTGCAGAGCTCATCAAAGAATATGGTACTTATGATAATTTTCTATAGAGGAGAATGTCGGTAGCTCAGGTAACGTAGATGGTCGTTGGCTTGTTCGCTGAGCTGGTTGTGGGCACAACCACTAACCCACCGCTACGTACAACTAAGCACTGATGATGTCACCTCGATTGGTGATGAAACTTTTGCAACCAAATTGCCCAGCTCAGCGAACAAGCCAACGACCAGTTGTGATCGCAAACCACCTGAAGACTTAGGTTGAATATATCAAGATTTACGCGTTCTAAACAGCGGATCTGAAGGTATCCTATAGTACTGCAACCACCCTTCGCTAGCTTTTAAGACTAACAAGTAACGTTAATTGAAGTTGGGCAATAATAGACTTTTTGATTATGTATTCGCTTTAACTGATTTATGAGGAAAATTAGAGCTCAACAACAATAAGATTTTGGTCGTGTTTGCAACCAGCCAGTCAACTTACCACCAAAAATGCAGATTAAACGTTCAGTCGGTGAAACGACGTTTGACAGATTGTGGTCATTCTTGTTCACTACAGTGGCCAACGCTTGCACTTTTAGAAAACCAATGCCTTCGAATGTTGCCTTGGCAGAAGCAGGACTTGGTTAATGTTCCGTTCTCGAGCTAACTGTCATTCAAGTGAAGAAGGCAGCAGCTACGGCAAAAGTGTTGTTACAAAGTTCGAATTAAGTCTTGATGACTGAATGAACAGAAAATTGTGGCATGTTGCTTGTAGTCCGCTACATTAGATAGCTCCGATTCACATACTGCTAAGTGCAGAGTTGGCAAACTTATCAAAACCCACGACAGTGAAGCATGACATCAAGAGCGAAAAACTATGGTCAGTACTGGTCTCGTCGTACAGTCCACGGGGCCTTGTTCAACATACTACAAAATAACTTTACATCAGCAAATAGCAAGCGAAACATAAATGACCGCAACTGCTTTCATCCATCCTTATTACCATGAACAAATGGATGTTGGTTTTCTGTGCAAGTGAGTGAAGCATTGTATTCTCACGTGTATCACATTATCGACAACTGCGACTATCCTATTTTGCTTTATTTTGTGATTCCTACTTTTCCGTGGCACCGTAACAGTTGTGAAAGGTGCTTTAGCTCTGTACGGGCTCGCATAACAGCAAAAGTTTAAGCGCGAACCGTGCTTCAGTTTCACGGTCAAGGTACGTGGTTACTTGGAAGCAAAATACGTGGTAAATACGTAGTGTCAGATTACCAGGATGGAACGAAACACTCAAACGGTTGCTTAAAATTCCACGATAGCCTACGACTGGTTCTTCAACTGTCTGGAATCATCAGGTAGACACAGTCCCCGAAGTTCTGTCAGCCTTACTTTCTACGTGAACCCAAATGGGATTCACTTGCAAAATTATTTGATTTGAGCTGAATACTCGCCTGGATTCCAGCTAAAGAAAAGCACAGAGAAGATATTAAGCTGGAAATCAGATGAGTCACGGGTTTGGGCGGAATAGGTATAATAATGTCAGTTTCCTTACGCCTTCATCAATGAAGCACATGTGGACCAGCATTTTCTTTACAACTCCAGAACAACAAAGTTTGGCAGGATAATTTGGGAGATTGGAACGGTTCCAGCGGAGACTGTCACAAGGGTTTGAACATCAGAAGGCCTTCTTTGGTGTGCTTTCATGTAGCTTAAAATCATCTATCGAACGATATATGGGTAGAAACCTTTGCTTTCAGAATTAGCAGCAGTCAGTTGTATCACGGAGGTGAATTTGCCCTTATACTCGTATTACTGGTTGCAGAATTTTCCCATTAGATTCATTCACTAACGCGTCCGAGCAAATTTCATTTCTAAACATCGTGTGTGCAGAAACTATGGATGCATAGCACTGCCATGCTAGAGACTGCATAAACCACTGCCTGAATAGTACGAGATTAGAAGCCCACCTTGGTTTCTCGAATATTATTATACACTTCTGGGGCAATGTAGCAATATATCGGCTCCAGTGCTTTCCTAGTTCGCAAAACAGATGAGGGTTAGCGTTAAGGTGACTATAAGGTACATCACTACGGTATCTGGTTCATTTGCAAGACTTTGCGGACGTCGTTTTGGTTTATCAGTCACACCATGAACAGCCAACAAATAAATGAGAACATTTTTACTCATATCGAATTCTTTCAACAGTGTGTTGTGATTGCACCCAAGATATCATATCTTACTTGGTATCAATGTGCACTGAAAAACTAGGGGGGGGGGTGTTTTTCTCCGGTTTCACCCTTTTTGCAGATCAGCAGTAGTGTACATCCTAGGGCCAGTCGAATTCGCAACCTCCTAGTTAGTAGCTCAGTGGCAAAGGATAGCTGATTAGCGGCGCCATTACTTCAATTTGAACAAGTTATGGTGTCACTCACGTTTAATCACAGTTCACATCAACGATGTTCCATGGTTCTTCCTGTGCCCGAAGCTGGATTTCTGGAAACTCACGTAGTTGCACATTAATTCTCCCACAGAAATTTGTGAAGGGGGCGGAAATCCTCAGACCTGAGAACGCTTTCTTTTGGCCACATCTTGAACAGAGTGGACAGCGGTGATAGACCACCTCGATAAGACGGTCTGTTCCGTCTCTCCTTGTGGATGGCTTATTCCCATATGTACACAAGGTAACCAATGGCTGGAGTGCTACATGAACATGTTTATATGCACCCAATATTTTAGTGAGAATAAATCACGCTGGAAAACGCTCGGTCCAAAAATCATGTATACATCGCAGTGCTTACTTATCCAATCTAGGTGGTGTGGATACTTTCAGTTGGGGCTGTTTCAAATGCTAAGCAGAATTGCAAATTCTAGAGCCTGCGATAAGCTTCTGTAAACAATGATCTCTGAGTGAATGGAACAGCAACGTTCGATCAAGCTCTATCAGGCTGCACGAACTTACTATGTAGGTTGGAGCTTCGCGCTCAAACCTAAACTGTCCCATTATTGGCACATTAATTCTTTCGGATTTGGCGTGGTAAAAAATGACAGAACCGTTAGGTTTTAAAACATACACTACCACCGTAGAGTGGGTAGTCAGGAGACAGCAGCAGTCGATGTTCACAAGGAGCCGTTGACGGCAAATGCCAGTTCTGAAATGAGCAGTTATGGAAACTGGTGGTGGTATTATTGGGACCAAATGGCACACAAAGCACACACTCACATGTTGGGTGACGCAGGAGTGAACAGCCTAGGGAGGCAACAAAGTGTGTGTATTGAAACGGGGACGGCAAGCACAAGTCAAGCGAAGTAAAAAGCATCGCTCATGGTCTCTCAGTGGGATGTAAAAGCGAACAACTTTTTCCTGCCTGGGGCTCTTTATGGATCATCCGGGGTACCTATAGCAGGGACAGAGAGATATACACACATTGGGTCATACGACAAACACATGTTAGCAGACGGTGTTTTGGTTTTAACTACGCTACACCGCCGTCGACTGAAACAGCCACCGATAAAAAATTACCTCATTTCCGCGAAGTTCGCTCACTCGCGTATGTTGTGTAACCATGTAAACGCTTTTTTTCACAGTCTCTATGAGTTAATAATCAACGCTAGTCAAAAAAACAAGAAGCAAAGCAAAGGCTTCTAGTACGTTTGACTGCCACATGAGCTATGTAACTAATGTCGCGTATAGCGGTGATGATGTAAACTAGTAGAGATCTAATAAGTGGGTAACTCTGAGATACATGCAGCTATGCGTAAACGGATGAGAATCCACAGAAAACTTTACTTGCCCATAAAAATTGAGCCGAAAGTGAACAAGATTTGGAGGCTAGTGTTACCAGTGAAGAAGGTAGAAATCTCCCTGACCGGAATTTCATTCTATTTCATTTTTATTCGCATTAAGCTACCTTCCTCAAGATTGCGTGCAAACGTAGAAATCATGTCACAGTGCAAAGTGAATTGTCACTAGTTCCTACTTCTTCCTCATAGTCCAACATCGGTGACAATTCAGAACTTTGGTAACTATTCGCTCCGCTTTTAGCTTTTCATCCGCAGTGAATTACGGACTACAGAAGCATTCATTGTGCTAGTTGCCTAAACTATGTTTTACCCTAAAATATTACCAAGATCTATGATGCATGAATGCAGAGGTAAGCCCCGTCAGAAAGCTTGGTGATAAATCAGTCCATGTTGTGCTGCATATACTCCATCGGTAATTTCACCAGCATGGTCAAACTTGAGCGTCTGTCTGGAATTGCGTCCTGGAAAAAATTAATGGTGAATGTGCTCTACAGTTCCCGGATGGCTTCGTTCGAGAGACATCAGTCGTCCGGTCTACCTTGCCGCAACAAATGACTGCGTTTCGGACGGCAATACCGACGCCTTGCTGGGCGGCCGTTTCTGGGTCTGTCGGGTGATTGGTTGCCTGCAGGCACGATCGATTGTCCTTATAGCCCGTGGTCGCTCGTCGATCCCATTGGTTGTGTTGGACAGCCAATCAGCTAACAGTGCTACCCCTGCAGCCAACTTTGTCTGGTTTTAGACCATGTACTGCTGTCGTAGTTTCCTTGCCGGACTGGGGACGGAGCAAACCATCTAAAGGCCATGACATCAGTTGCCAGGGTGGCCCCTTTACCTGGCGAACTAGAATTATCTGATCCTGGGGTAAGTGGAAATGTGATTTCACCGTTTTGGTCAAGTTTAGTGTGGAGTGTTTTTGGTCCGTACCACAGTACACTGCAAATTTAAGTTTTTGTGCTATATATTTATGAAACGCTTGACCGAATCGCATCCTAGGGATCTATGCCTTTCAGATTTGGTTAGTTCGTCACGAAATCGTCACATAAAGGACGAATATGTGATCATTCAGGTGGAAAGCGTTCGTGTCGCCTTATTGGAATCACTGGTGGGTCATTCGTCATCCATGATGGTTCTGTGAACAAGGCGCTCATGGAAGCTGCATCAAACAAACCTCTAGTGTGGGTCAAAATGCGGGAGTAAAATTCGGTACAATGAACACTTTCAATAGATACACTAATCCCATGAAAACTACTTGCACTTACAGCTTTACCCTGCCATGCTCGCTTTCTGGGGCCTGTACAAATTTCCACGACAAACGCTGCTAGATAAAGTAATACACTGTGGTGAGAGCAAGTCTCAAGTTAACGTAGTAGCAGGCCCCCGTTGAAAATATCCTTTGGACATGATTCACCAGGCACTAGCGGGCCTGGGCACTTTTCAGGCGCCAACCTACTGCAGTGAGGGAGAATTGCTGTTGAGCTTGTTGCTCCCGATTTGCGTGTGAGCCCAGAGAATTGTGTGTATTGCTTGGACCCAACTGTAAATGACATATTTCTTGCGCAAGCACTTATATCCTGTTCGCTCTGTGAAACAAAGTAGTTACATTTGATTTGAAACTCTTGTATCCTTGTGCAAGTTTCTCGAAAAACGTTGGAAAACTGCTAGAAGGCTGCGATTACTCTGACCATTGAAATCGTCAGACACTTCTTTCAACTGTGCGTTAAATCGTAAATCTTTGTCAATTCTGGTTAATTCTCGGTCTTCCCACAATCAAGATACAGGATATATGCTCTTTGTTATATCACTTAATATTGTACGAAAGCAGTATAGAAAATTCCTTCAGTAACTGACTTCTACGAATACGGCACTAGTCATTGTCGCATCAATCCGATAAGCACGCGTTAATCGGGGACCAAACTAATAAGTTTGGGTGACTTAATGGGAGAAGAGGTGAAGATGCATCAGTACACGTGACCCCAGGGCGCCATAGCTTGATGCGTGTAATCAACCGTTACCGTTTATGGATCGTGACAAAGCAGCTGACCGACCTTTATTTATTTGTACTTCTGAGATTGTTAATTTACCCATACACCGGGAGATTCACTTTTCCAGGAAAGGATAGAGAGAAGTTAAATTCTTCGAGGAAGATCGCATTGCACACGCCTATTTTGGTGAGATTTGCTTTGACCCTATGAACATCGTAGAGTATGCCAACACCACCCAGTTTCAGTTCCACTCGCACCGTACGCATGTTGGTCAATGTCTGATTCCACTAACTTATTTTCAACTCCCCTCCGCCCACATAACACTCCCCAAGAGCAAATAGCTGCCATTTTCTTAGCAAACGTCTTTGAAGGCTTCATCTTCTTGAAGCTTCTTTCAATTTTTTCCGATCCACTTCCAAATGTTAGACCCCATCTGATTCGTCGCACCATGGTACACATGATTGTCTTGTGTCCGTTCCTGAGAGCACAATCAAAACAAGCCCTTCAGTACCTCGCCTAGTGGATACATAAGGCTTCTTCCTGATATTTTAGTGGATGGCTACCGATACTTACTGCGTTAACAGGAATGGGAATGGTTTTAGTGAAGACTCCAATGATGTTTGCCTTTGGTATGAGTGGTAGCATCAACACAGCAGTTGTGTTGGTTTATTGCATCTTGTTTTGGGTCAAAATCACACATTCCTTTTGACAAACAAGTGGTATCTACTATGCCACAAACATAAACCTAGTACGAAATGACGCTGCTCGGGTACGGTGGATCGATGTGAAGCTTTACATCATGAAGTGTTACTCACCAATCGGGTTGACAATAACAGACCGGAACAAACCAAAGCAGACACCTACACTAGTGCTTTGAAAAGTGCACTCAGGTTAGGGTTGCAGTGTAGTCAGAAGAAAAGTCGGATTTCATCGAGACCCAAACCTCTGTTTTCAAAGGATTTATAATGTAACCTCGCTAAGTTTGCACCATTCATGGTACCAGGGTAGTCGGGAATACAGAACTAACTACTTTTTCGACAAAACTCGTGGTGGTTGATAAGACCTAGGTAGATTCCTCGACAGTTCAAAGAGCAAATCATTCACGGAAGGAAAAAGTGGAGCGCTGTCTCGTTTTTCAGGTTTGTCACTGGAAATGATAAGCGACCGCAAAGTTGGAAGCCTCACTTATGCTGATGTAGCCAAAACACATCGGATCAGAAATCAGCGGCTGGGTACCAATAACGAACCTTATTCTGTGGATACTCATCCTGAGTGTATAATCATCGTCCTTGTTTGACTGAAATGGGTAGAAGAGACGGTAGCAAGTGTATCAAATGTCAAACACTGGGGAAGCTGAAAGCGGTTTTATAGAAGATAGGGCAGAAGACATAGCCCATTTCGACGGGGACTTTGGATCTTTGTAAGTAACGTGTGATTGGGTTGCGAAGCTTTAATCACGAATCAAGGTCGTTGTTGTGAAGCTAAGCGGCTCAATGCTTTGATGGAATTGTAACCAACGATTTTGACGATGATCACCTAAACGATTACGATTGTGGATGCAATGATGTGCGGTGCTGCTGGCCCACAAACTGCGTTGATGGTGTGCTCGTTTTTCTATGTGGTCGGCATTGGCTGGTTGCTGAGGAGAAAACGATGTTCTCAACATGCAGAATATTTGCAAATAAATCGGGTGTTATAAGCGATTTGAAATAGGAGTAAAAGAAACTTTGTGCACCGTGCTCTGTTGTCCTTTCTTGGTCGTAAGAGTTCATCAAATATCATACAACGGCAATTGGATTCCAGTTCAGAAAGAACTGGAGAAGAACTGCAGAACTGTTGCCTCATAGAACAAAGGTATGGTTACAATGTTCAGCATTTTCATATAGACCAAGGGTTACGACCACTCAATCCATCTGAAGCAAAGAAGCTGGACAGTAATGACCGACAAGTGAGTAACGTAATGGTTATCGTCCAAGAAGGCCCTTCGCTGGTTTTGTGTCGCACCCCATTATTCTGGTTCGTGAAGCGTGGTCAGGATATTTGCCTGTCCTGCTATGTAGACTGCTTTTCAACTCGATATGAAAAGTATAGTCAGTCAGACAAAGTCCATCGCGAATCGCTGAAATTGCTGAAGCGTCATAAGCAGTAGCTGGGGTGCCACAAAAATCTCATTTTCCTGGAACCTTTGATAAGCAAAGTAGGTACAAGTCAATGCAACACCTCAACAAATTTAAGACCACTGACATTTGATGGTCTACTCCATGCAGGAGGAAAGGTTACGCTACAAGATAGTGCTGGAGCCGAGGCGTTTGTGATATTACCATCTTACTGTCAAATGACGAAATTAATCGTCATTGATCTCAAAGAATCTGAGGGTCATATTTGAGCGACACAGTTTCTCGCGATTTTGGAAAGATATTTAGGACAGTTCGTGGTGTAGGAACAGTTAGAGTGGTTGTCAACACCCGTGCAACTACCTGTATCCGAAACCGTGTTTTCCACTGATGTCCCCGCTGCACCGTGGAGAACCACCGGTGTTGGGTTTTCATTTGGACACTATGTCGTGAATTATTCTGGTCCGTTTCTTGCTAAAATCGAGCGAGGGAAGCTGACGGTTTATATATTGAAAGACTCCTGTAGTACGTATTAGAATAGCGTGTAATATTTCAGTATATTTGTGCATCAGGATTTGCTCGGAAATATCAATAAACGAAATAGGTCGAATAAATTAAATGTTAAGGGGTCGAACTCGTTAGGCGCGGAACTTCCTGGTATTATTCAGTGAGAGGGTTGAAGATTCTTTTGGAATGCAATATAAAATGAGATTTGAACCTGCCTGATACCAATACTGAAGCGGTGTACGTGAAAAGACTGTTCGCCCTATTAAACAGATATTAACCTCAGTAATGGGTCATCAAGCACTTACCTAAAGGAAATTGATTGACTCTTTAGTTCAAGTGGAGATTATCATTAGGGACCAGTTTGTGGTGTCCCAGAAAGAGGTGATGCGCTATGCCCGAACAACCTATTGCTACAAAAATCCAATTTTGGCGTACTACATAATTACATCAGTTTCACAGAGCGCTAAACGAAGATTTGGAGGCTAAAACAAAGTATGGCGGCCATACTTTGGGATAGTTTTGGGAGTATCTACCATCTCCTCAACTGCAACAAAAGGTTTAATGCGAGTAGAACATCCAAAATGGATGAGATTACGCCTGTAGCAAGTGAACCAAAGGAAGTATTTCTCGCGCAACGAGGTACGTGAGTCAAGCTATGGTTCTCATGGGTCTGTCTTGGAAACTGCTGGTAAAATGCCTACGGAACTTGGTCATCTTTGGTGACATTTATTAGTTTCTGTTGCGCCTACTCTGTCTTTATGCTGTTAGGTCCGGAAAGCTCATATTGTTTTTTGTAGCTGGACGTTGCGTTCGTTGCCCCATCTTTGTGTTCGCCATGGTATGGAAGTGTGTGATGTTCTACTCTTTCTTTCTAAAGTCCAACTTCGAATCGCGAACAATTTGATTTTATTGTGCCATATGGTTGCACAAAACCTAGTTAACTTTTGTCTTGTTTTAGGCAAATGGTTTCTAACAGGTCATGTGTTCGTATGCCGTTTGGGAAAGGTTTGGGACATACATATCCAGTCTTGTTATTTTGTAAGGCAATCTACATAGAACGTCACATAAATTATCGAAAATACCTACAATAGGGTAAACCACTTTCTGAAAAGCTAGGGGTTGTTTCTACTGGCGATTTCTTTCGAGAGTATTTCACCTGGAGAGAAGAATTTATCGCCATCCATGTATGGAATGTATGACAAGTTTAAACTATTGATCTTGATCATCATCCTCATCATCACTGACAGCAATACTCCAATGACACACATATAGTACCCAAGTGCCACACAACCTCGAAGGAAGAAAGCCTCAGTAAAGATGGACTGTTATGGAATCATTGAGAAGAATTCTTATGTCCTTAGCAGCAACGATCGAGACACCTTCGGACAGCATTAAGATAAACACATCTTAGCATGATGTCGAAATAAGGCGTCATCAGAAGAATGAACTCAGCGTCCTTTGCAAACTTTGCCCGACTTAAGCGCAGAGCATTACGACACAACCTCCACTAGGCAGTCCGGCTAGGAAATGACAGTGTATGCGCTACTGGCATCGGTTGTGTGCAGTTTCCTGCAGGGCTTCCAACCACCTACAAGTAAGATCGCTTGGATCCTGGCCAGCCTAGGCAGTCGGCTAGGAAATGACAGTGTATGCGCTACTGGCATCGGTTGTGTGCAGTTTCCTGCAGGGCTTCCAACCACCTACAAGTAAGATCGCTTGGATCCTGGCCAGCGGAGATCCCACTCAAAGTAGCCGCTTTCATTTTACGTTACCATGTCATGACCTGTCCTCGAGAGCCTTTCGCCAACAGTCGTTCGGAAGAGAAAACAGTGCGTTCTTCAGTAGACCGTGGTTAAACATTTTTGGCACCTGCCTCGACCCCCTCAAACTGGCAGGTTCAAAATGCTGTTGTAAGAAACTGGATTCAATACCAAGTACTCACTTACGCACCACCTCATTGCGGAGTTATTACAGCCAGCTAATCCTTGGGATGCTACGCAGCACTAGATGGGTGCCTGGGTGGAATGCCTACAGCTGAGATCTACATAAAAGTGACTGTCAAGTGGGACAGAACGGGATTTGAGTGATAACAATGAAGAATTATGAGAGGTATCAGCAGTCACGTGTTCTCCCGTGTCTGGCCTGCTATATGCAGCGAAAAGGTGACCCGGTCGATGTGGCATGAATGTACTTTTATCTGTAAGGTTCATGGTTGTATGTGGGCTGGGACACTGTCAGGGTGCCCAAATCTGAGCTGGAGGACGATGAGGGTCCTCAACGAAAGCCTGTGGCCCGAAAGCCTGACTGCAAGACAGCGATGGTTGGCTTGAGACTACTCGAGTAGCCCAAGCTGTAATGAGCAAATCGACATACTTATTCCAACGCCCGACGTGGAGTGCTAGGAGACCATGTTTGTCAGACCTCCATCCATTGGCCATTTCGGCAGGAGAGACTGTGTGAATGCTGAACGAGCAACCTCCAGCACAGGCCATTGAGTTACTGAGGCACGCAAACTGTCACACCACGAAAAGATCCAGTCTATTGGCATTCCAGTCTATTAACCTTAATGGTTCTATTCAAACTGCGTACTTACCCATATATTCAAAGGTTGCTCTGTGGTACTCATTTCAGAAACCACAGGTGTGAAATCCATTGTTTTTTTATAGAACCAATTCCTAAGCCTCCTTGATGTTAAGATAACACATCAATAGGCAAATTAACCATTGTAGAATTATAGCATGACTGCCTTGTTGCGGTGAAACCAAATATGTTTTCGCTTTTGTCACATCTGTCGAACGAAGTTACATAAGATTAACAATTCATTTGTTCCATATCGTTCCAAATCGTTAGGCGTTCTTCAAATCTCAACCCGGTGCCCTGAATGACCCCCACAATACAATTCCGGAGGATGATGTGTGGCACTCCAATCCAACGGTATGCGGGGAACTACCCTGTGGTGGGACAGATAAAATGCAAGATGGCGTAGTCCTGGAGATCGATCTTCAGGACTTGCAACCAATCACCCCTCCTGACGGTGGTTGGGGTTGGTTCGTCGTACTTGGCAGCTTCCTATGCATGTTTCTGGTGGATGGTGTTTGTTTTTCTTATGGAATATTTCTCAGCGAATTAGAACTCACATTTGAGGCCAGCAAGACCCAAATGACTCTGGCCGGGGCACTCTTGACCGGATGTTACTTCATGGTTGGTGAGTAATGTCGTACTATTTTCACCCACGTTACATCTGAGGGGTTTTAATCCGCAGATTTTGCATCATTTAAACTAGGTTTTTACACAGAAAGGTCTATTCTGTGCTTTTGTATAGTGATTAGTTGGATTGTGTTGGTAATCCCTCCCATGAGATCTCACAATGAGAAAAGGTTCGACGTCTTCGGTGGTATCGCACACTAGGTCGTGGCTGGCCAAATGTACTGGTATTTGCTCCTTATGCGAGTTCTCTTCGAAGGTTACTTCTGTGCTGGAAGCACTGTACAGCTTAGGTATTTTACGTTAGAACATTCATTGTTACACTTCAGAATGGATAAAAAATTGCCTCAATTATGGGCCAGGAGCTCCCCAGTGCGTGTTTATTGCCAACTGTCATTCAAAACGGGAGTAATGGCAATGCTCGGTTCCCAGAAATATGCGCAGAATACGAGTTTTACTTGTGTTCACGCCACCCTCTGTCCTGACGTGATTCATATGGTTTGTCCACACCAAGGCGGTGATGTGCCGAACCTTAGTTTCTCCCTCATGAGAGCTCTTTATTGGCCCATATTTTTATTTTATTGGAAATTGAACTTCGGACAATTACCAGTATTACAACCCCCCAGCTCAATTTGGACGCATCTGGATAATCAAGTCCTAGTGCGGAGTGTGTTCACGCTTGAGCTGTGTTGATTCGCCCGAGTCAAACCGCAAGAGATTGATGTGAACGGGGATTCTACAAAATCCTGCAAAGGATCACACTTTTGTTCCCACGTTTTGCTGTTTGCTTTCTATGCAGCAAGATATACTAGACTTATCTGAGCTAGAGAAACTAACAGTATTCTTGAGAAAAGCGATTTCTAGCACACATTCTTTTGTGGTTCTTCGCTACCCGTTATTCTTGAGTATATACTTTGTTGTGAGACTTACGTTAGCAATATTTGGTGCATGGGTACAATCCTTTGTAGTCTGTAGCTGTAGCTAATTTGAACCTTATCCCCTGACTCACATCTAACATATAGCACTTCACGTTGCTCACCTGTCTCATTAAATCCCGTTGCGTGGGACACATAATTGCTCTCGTGAGAGCAGAACGCCATAAAAACTAGCTTTATTGATTGGTTTTCCTTTGTAAATGTTTACTTATGCAGCCGTCACACTGTGCTTCTATCTCGCTAAAAGTGGCAGGAGTGATTGAACTGCTTTGCCACTGCACTTAACGATGTTATTAAACCACAGCAGCATTCTTCTCAGTAAGTAATGTCCTTCGGAATCACTTGCTTAATTACTTTTCAAGTATTTCATGTTGAAATGGAGAACAAGATACGATTTTTCTCTGTTGTTGGCTATGATTGTCTTTCATAACCTGATACTGAGCAAATTGCCAAAAATTCCCAAGTAGACCGGGTTCCGTTCGTTCACCCTAATATCACCCAAAACCGATCATTAATGTTGGCCGACTGGACAAATGCGTAGCTTTTTCACTGTCTGTGTGGTTGTGAAACATCGCAAGCGTGACATTTATCGGGTTATCGACTGAAGAAGAATGACTTTCTTAACGTCAGTGACTGGATGAGACACAAGGGACGCAGTCTCACCAAGTGAAGCTATGTGCCAGTGTCGCACGTGGTTTACACAACCAGATCTCCTCATCTAAACGCACACACCAGGTTAATCTTGAAGGAGTGCATTTTTCATCAATTGAGTCAGCAACTAAGTTGCATTCAGATTACAATTCACCCGACTGGTAGTCTTAAGGCCGAACAGGCATCTGGAATGGAATGCACTTCCCACTAGTCAAGGTGGATTACCAAGAGGAACATGCCCTCGCCCATGTGGTCGGTCACTGTACCGAAAGTTGAACACCTCCATGGGGTGATTTTTGATCACAGTAGTTAAGTGGCCAAGTTTCTGCTTCCAGAATTTCGTGAAATTCAAACGCTTTAGTTCAGCAAGGCTAGTGAACAGGTTTGATTTGTTTCCAGGCTCACCAGCCGAGCGTCGATTATGGTGCTGATGCAGGATATCATCCTGGTGCCTTAGCCATTCAAATGTGAAGGTTCCAGTTTGTCTCGGGTGAGTTAGCTGGAAACCGATGCACATGCTAGGACCGGCTCCTTCTTCAATCATATCTGGACCGCTGTTTGTGTGAAGTCACCACTCACCTGAACATTCATAAGCAGACTATGGAGTTAGGAAGCATACCGAGAAGGAACAAGGGAATCTTGACAAAAATAACACTAGAAAAGAAGACGAATTGTCTGAAGCATTTCCATTTCAATGCAGTAAAAAACCCATCGAAAAGACCATACGTTACATTCTGGCTGGGCGAACGGATGTGAACAATGTAGCAGCAGAAAAAGGCTGTCTCATAAAGTGGGACTGTGGGAAAATGCTGCTTATCGTCTTCAGTGGTATTTGTAGAAAGATATATCGTATCATTCCATATAACTCTCTTGGAAACTTTGAAAACACGGAGGTAACTTTAATCGTTTTGGCGTTTTGAATGATGCACAAACCACGTCGCCCAAAGTATCGCTGAACAGAAGTCAACTTCAAAACAATGAAATAAACTGGCAATATCTTTCTAGACCATTCACGGTGCAAGAACATTCAGAAGACATCTGACAAAAAAGCCAGTAATCCATATCAAAGATGCACATGAACTGTACGTGTATGCCAGATTCTGTCAGCCTGTAAGAAATAGATTGACAGAAAAGGACGGAATATCCTGATTGGCATGCTAGTTCCCTTGAAAACAGTCTTATTCGTTCGTTGCGTTTTTTGCGAATGGCAACGACGTGGCTTTCTACTTCCAAGGTTAAATATTACGGCGTTTGGCCGGCGAAATTGGAATTCAGTTTATGGGATTCCGAGTTTCTGTGATTCATGACCCACATGATCTAACTAAATGACCATGAAATAACACTTTTCAGCTCGTATTCCAAATCTAAGAAAACATGTTCCCAATGTCCTTAGAGGTCAGACAGGACATTGGACTGCAAATTCTGCATTTCATGTAATGTGTTCAGCGTTTCTACTTTTTCCAACCTACATTTCAAGTCTTAGTTGTCCATATTTGCTCAAACTTCCAACGATAAATTCACTCACCAATCAAATTAGACTCCGACACCATGCCGTATTTCAATTTTTGCCCTGCTCTACCTGTAAAAAGCAGACAGGACAGCAAGATCAAGCTGTTTTTTCTCGAAGTGTCACACCAAGTAAAACCCAGTACTTACTCCTACAAAACCGATGGATGGTCATGGTCACATTGGCGTTTTGAAGAGATTCCAGATTCACGAACGCCTCACGGTGTGATTCGGACGGTGCTCTTGACGGTTTGATACGTACGCAGGTGAATACCTACTGTTGTGAGCTAACGAAACACTGACTAGTTTGCAGAGAGCCTGGCATAAAACCATGCAGTATCTGGTGTATCAAGCTAAACCGGCTAGCACAGATCCTGCTCTCTTATCGTAATTCCTTGTAAACAGTCTAAGATGAACAGGCAGCGCCTATTCCGTCACATGTGCCTATCGTGTGTTGCACCGAGTGTTAACAGGGCGTTGAAATCATCCAGAGGAAAGAATCTTCCTATCGCTATTAGAGACCTATACGGTACTAGATTAGGTCGCGCAAATCCCTTGTTTAAATATGTGCACCTCCCAGAACCACATGGGAACCACACACAGTGGTGCACATATTCACAGCATGTAATTCTTTTGTGTTCCGTCGCCGGGTAAGAATGCCAGGCAGCGACTACGGTAAATTAAAAAATTTCACAGTACTGTTAACTGGTGTGTTTCATTGACCTAGTCACCTGTGATGAATGTGTCACTTATTATTCCCGTCAGGACAACCTATCATGGTTTATCCTGCCAGAATAATAGTGGCTTTATAGTATTTGAGTACATCCCGGTTCATATAAGCGTAGCAAAAGAGTTTTTAACCGAATATTTATTCAACCTGCCTCACCCGATGATATCTGATGTGTAGAGACTTGCTAAAAACCATCTGTCGACCTAAGCATGAAGGCATAGCAAGAGGAAACGGCATCAGCTAGCTGTTTATCATCGAAGAACCGCGTTATTCGTCATTCCCTTTAATTTTCAGTGCAAAGCCACTTCTCATCCCAGTACGACACTTTCCAATCGCCTAATAACCCACCGTCAAGTTCATATGGCACTACCTGATGGTATTCCATTCACCCTACGAGTAATGTCACCTTTGGAGTCATAATGTCGGACAGGTGTATGTATATGCCTACGTATGAATATATATATATACATATATATGTATATATGTACACAGATGTATACAAAACTTCGTCTCAGGACCAAATACTCGATACTTTGGAGGTCTTAAGTATCCCATCGAAACGTGGATTAAGCCGGTCGCCTTTCTAGTTTGAAATTGCGTGTTGCCTTCACGGGTATTTGACTTGTTAGAGCATCCCTATTTAGTTAAATTGTCACACCGCTCTAAAACGATTGAGTCGTGAACCAAGTGGGTATTAGCAAGAGCCACAAAAGGTGACTTTAATTCATTATATACATTGATGATCGCTTGAAGAATGTCTTTGCCATCTATTAAACGAATTCGTCATTCATAAACTATCCACGTTGATTATGGCTTGGTTTCGGAATATTGGTGCTCTTGGCTTATTCCAAATGCATAATAGTTACTTTTGACGCAACTTTTGAGTCCCCGTGCCAAACTTGCACTACATACTTGTCCCAAATACTGGCCGGAATCGAGTCCTTTCACAGTCAACATTTAGTGTAATCGATCGTATGTTGCTGGAACTGAGTGTTTACATTCACTTGGCTGTCTTGGAAATGGTGGACCTGTAGACTTGGGACACGCTAGTTAGGTATGCCTCGATAGTACATTACGATAAACATCTGCTGTAAGTCAGACAGTTGAACTGGGCCACCTTTGTTCATCACTCAAGACTCTAAACCTACAGTGTCTCAGAACAAAGTCAGACATTAGAGGAAAACTGAAAGTATTTATTGTTTGGCAGTAAGGCATATAAAAATGCATGCTGTGAAAATCAGACAGCTTGAAAACGCGGATAAATGTAAGTGCAGTCCAGGTTATTCAGAGGCTAGCACGCCCTGGTCTTGGCGGATTAGCGCATTCCATTATTTATCTATCATTCATGACTCCGGTGTTGAGGGCCGAGTTGAGACAATTCTGAGCGTCCAGTGATGCGACGCAGTCTCTTCTACCCACATGGACTACTGTTGGTATTGGAAACAGAGAGGAAACAGCTACTTCGTGTGTCGTAGATGGACCGTCAGCCCAAATGTGTCCAGAAGCACCATAAGCGGGTGGCTGATATCGATATCCTTTGAGGCTAGCACTTCTGCGACATACTGGTCGTAAGGGAAGAATTTGTTGGAAGTCGTTCCTCTTCCCGCGATCGATTGAAAGAGCTCACATAAACATCAACAAAGTGAACCTGCAGTCCGTACTGTAAGTGATGGGGCAACAAGCGTACATATTCAATCACGTGGCTGCAGCGGAATTTCTCCAAGTTTTTGGGCTGTGATCCAAAGTTTCAGTAGCCCACTGGTGGGCTTAGAATGGCTAAAATCGTTCTGGTGTCCCAACTGTCAGCATCATTCTTATTCAGCAGTGAAAGGTCTATCAGAGGAGAGCAACCCACAGTTGAAACCATTTTCAGTCAATCCTTTCATATGGTTTCAAGGACAATTGTGTATTTGCGTCCTTTTGAAGAGGTGTGATGTGATGCCGATGTGATGCTATTTCTGCTCGACCCTTTCAGTTAATCTATCCAGAGACTTAATCATTCAGGGCGACATACCATTCTCCAGACCCATGATTTTTGTACTAGCGTATAACAACCCAGAACACAAATCTCGCATCGTGATATTTGTGGGACGGTAATTTGTGCCACAAGGATATTGGGGATGAGTTTCTGGGAAGTGAAGTAATGTCTCTCTGAAGGTACCTACTTCCAGACCAGTTTTACGCGGCTGGAGCGAAGCGGTCTTGGTTCGAACACTGGTCTCTCATGGAAGACTACTCTTTGTTTACTACTGTGGACATCTGTGATCAAGTGACAAACACAACAGCTTTGTCTATCAAAGTGCCGAATCGCAACTTCTGGTTAATCCTTACTACTTTACTCGAATATCGTACCAACTAAAACACTGGCAGCATTTATGCAGCATGTACACTTGAAGAACACCATAAACGACAGATTCTGCTGGGATACTGTCGAATCTCCCATTGACATCAACTCAACTTGCAAGTGAATATATCTCACTAATTGTGTAGAATCTGATGTCCAATCAGGACGTGAAGTTGACGAAAACTCGGAACTGCGCCCAAATGTTGAGCCTCCAGAGAGGTTAAGCTGGTACTAGGTTCTCAGAATATGCAGCAACCTTATGAACACTGTGTTCTGTCAGGAAACTATTTGCACCGTTTTTAATGTTCATGCATGTATAATATGAGGTTAGGATGCCGAACACTACGCTATGGAATGCTGCCCCACAAAGCCTGCGAATCCCTAGACTATGCACAGATTCCAGAATTTTCATTTGAATGGAGTGAGCGCTTTAAGTAGCTGATTGTCAAACCTTGATGTATCTCTCACGATAAGGACGACTTTTCCTTGGCATGCACATTATCAGGTTCGCACATTCCAGTGGACTACAGGAATGAACCGTTATCCGCTTAGTCTGTCGTGAATGATACTGTGCGCCTCTCTTTGGAGAGGTCTGTTAGATGGATTACTTAAGCAGGTAAGACTTATGAGGCTGGAAATCATTTATGGAACCACTGACAGCTTTGGAGACAAATCAGCGTTTCCATTAGTCATGTGCTGCTCGCTTGGCATCTCGTTGTAGGGACACCGAAAACAAACTTTGCATCCTCCCTCTCGGTCTTTGCTTGGAGAGGAAATTGCTTCTCTAGCAGACCTTTATTGATTTTTTGATTGGGGTTGAGGACAAGCTCTCAAGAGACAATCATTTCAGGTAGCATTTCACGGAAACCGAGTTAACTGGTCGTATTGATTGTTCTACAGGCGACTGTTTATCTGTATACCAAAGCTTGCAATTGGCTTGCAAAACCGTCATAATTATACACTGATGATGCCTCCTCGTCTGTTGACGAACTGTTTCCAACCTAATTACCAAGCTTGCCAAACACTTCATCAGCAAACCTATCAACAATCAATAAACGCATCCTAACTACCAATATTCCAACACATTGGAGTGGTTTCATCTGTGAGTCTTTTACCAAAGAAGATTATTGGGGGGGGGGCTACCGTAATTTTCTACTATGACGTTCTGAGGTCACTTCATAACGCATCCTAACTACCAATATTCCAACACATTGGAGTGGTTTCATCCGTGAGTCTTTTACCAAAGAAGATTATTGGGGGGGGGGCTACCGTAATTTTCTACTATGACGTTCTGAGGTCACTTCATCTTGGCGATACTTTTGCGTTACGTTTACTCTCTCAACTTACGATTTTGAGTACATCACTACCGTTTTCACCTACCTTCAGGGCCTATTGCCAGTGGTCTCATGAATCGCTTCGGTGCAAGAATTTTGGTTATGTTTGGCGCCAGTCTGTCGTCAATAGGTATTATTTCCAGTACATTTGCGACCAATCTGCCAATTTTCATCGGGACTTTTGGAGTAATTGGAGGTAAGTACAGATGCCTCTCTTGTGCATTGTTTTCAGAACCATACATTGTGCGGCCAAACAGGGTACGCTATTGTCGGTTACTTAACATACACTTGTGACCAGAAGTTTTGTCGATGGGAAGAAAATGTTTGTTGACTGATCCCCGAAGCACAGTTGTCTTGCTTCAGAGGGATCAATTGGAGGAACCAACCAAATGAGACCTATTCTGAGGAATAGCATCTCTGTTGACAGCAATTACATATTATGTTGATTACCGCGGCGAATAGGAACTGTGTTTGTATAACTCACGCACACTCAAATGTCACAGATTGTTTCCTACTCATTTATGTGATTTCAAGAACACTTACTTCGGAATACAATCTGCGGTTAAAAATGATCGCATGGTCCTGACGATAGGGCTATATTGGCCTCAGCAGCTTCCGGCGTATGACATCATCTTCCAGAATGAACCACAATCAATTCAGAGGCTGGTTAAAAGTCCTTGAAACAGGCTATGTACGGCCGTGCGGGCGAAATTCGCCATCGCCGGTTTTGAACTCTTCTGGTTGTCTCAGGCTGTGTAGCAGTTGAGTCACCCTGTTCATCAGGATAATTCTTCAAAAACTTTCAATTGCCATCTTGTTGCATTTGACTGAACTGCAACAAGATTAAGACGGAGAGCCACTGAGCCACCAGTACTCCATGTAGTCTCATCTAACCGACCAGACGGAGCTACCTTCAAATACGCGTGGGATGTTCTAAGTTGGGACTTGGCGATTCACCTCGACGAGCAACTAATAGACCATCAGCCTGTTGTAACGCAAAGCCCCGCCTTTGACCTTTCACTTTTTGAGCAGCACCTCTGTCATGAGAATGCAATGAACAATAATTTTCAGCATAAGCTATATATTGGGAGGTTCCTCGAGGGTACTTTGGCGAAGTGCAATAGCATCCACTCCGCACCAGGCTGAGGCATTTGGAAGTATCTTTAATTCGTCAACGCCAGTTCAAGGTCACGGATTACACGTATTCCACGGCGCTGTTTACTGGCGTGGCGATCAACCACGCGTAGAATCGATCGAATTTAGGACCCGTAATCGCAGTCTTCAGGATGAACTGGCATGCTTTTCCTAACTTCCAACGTAGGAAATTACGAGGATGTTTCCACTGCTGTCATCACCATGGGATGTCATTAGCTCGTATTCTACCCTTTGTTCGCTAGTTAAGGCACAGTACCAGTTGCTCGGCTAACACAAATTGAAACAGGCTTAACCCTACAGCTATCCTCGTCACGCAGCGTTCGTTATTGAATGGGACTCACCACAGGTATTGAATGTTGATTCTGTGGTCCCTATTTTCATGGACTGCTAGTGAGCCGACTTTAATAACATGTTTGTTCACCTTGTACTGTTGTTAAGTGTTATTCTTTCACTATTCTGCCTTGCGTTGTGTGCATTTGGATGTATCTCGTTCGTCAAACTACCGCTGACACTCAGTTGAATGTGTTGGTTCAAAATGGCGGACACAGTGGAAGTGTGGATCACAGTTTCTTAGCTAGAATTTTTCCTAGGGTTTTTGAACAGACATTTAGACACGTACCAGTGTCCGATAATTCTCATCGTTTGAAGAATGTAGAGTCATAGTTTCATCACCACATCATTATCGCCCTGTTTTTTTTCCATCACACATCATTATCGCCCTGTTTTTTTTTCGGTCACTTTGATAATGAGATATTTCTGAGTCACTCAAACTGACATTCTTAATTGTTCGACACATTTAGTGTTAGGGTTGTTGATGTGTCTATTTGGACAACTGAACCACAATACTATTATGGTCAACACAGATGATATTGTTTATACCTGAAGAGTGTGACTGATCAAAACAATCAATGATAAGTGCTATTTGCATAAGTTGATTTCCTCTCACGTGCCCGTTCTTCCTGGCAATCGATTTCACTTTGACCTGCTGTATAGTGCAAGTAGTTTATTGTGGTTTTTCTTGACTGCCTTTTGATCCCTCGGATTATACCAAAGTTGTTTAGATACCTTTCTCTACTTTATGCATCTACCAACCTATGAATAGTTTGTACAACGTTTTAAGCCTGACGTTCGCTGTTCAGTTAAAAAATGTGGATCAGTCTATGTACTGTGGGCTAGTCAAGGTATTTTTCCTCACGTAACATTACTTTCGGGGTTGAGTACAATTCTTGGATAAACTATTTGTCACGTGGGATCACGCAGGGATCGGTGAACTCACACACAATGTAAGAGTACGGATGTGCAAATGGAGGTGTTTTAAAGCTTTTCACTTTGTCAGGTAGAAACCTAGACGCCATATTTCACAAACAGAACAGCCGTGGAATGACCATAACGGGATGCGAATACAAGGACACAGCTCTGACGCCCGGGTGGCATTATAGCAGTTTTGGTTTCTTGGCTTGAACGATATATGGAATTTCTGAAGGGACAAGTCTCCAAGAAAAGCGCAACTAGCCCACTACAAGTGGCGCAGAAAAAACCTCCAACTAATTTGAGGCCATATGCAGGAGCAAGCGTTCCCGGTTGCTTAGTCGATAGAGCAGAGCGTAGGCAGGAGGTCAGTGGTTTGAGTCCATCCCGAGGCGCATCTTTCCATTTACCCTATGTGTGTTTGAACTTCTAATTCCACAATCAGCTGAAACCCTTTCTACTTTCTGGAATTCTGATGCGTTCAATCCAGTTTTCCGATTCCCTGATGGAATTGTTTGAACAACTACATCATTTAGGATAATCAGACGAGCGCTACCAGTTCTGTCTATCACACAAAACTCGCGAGCCTTTGGAAAGTGTCATCCATCGTCTTTTCCCGAATCGTCCAAACTGACTGATATTCGAGCATCACGAAAAAGGACTTCGGAGCTACTATGCTCACTCAGTGACTTATAATGAGTGTTTGTGATCGCTGTATATGTGAAAAGTTGCATGCGAAGGATTTTCCCAAACTGTCTTCAAAAAGAACACCGAAATCGGCGAGGATAAAAGCGTCGAGTTTTTCCTTCAGAACAAACTATTTCAATTTGAAAACAGAATTTTGGATGTGTTCAAAATACATCCAAGTAAACTTCCTACCATTAACATGGTGACACTAAACACAAAGCAGGCAGCACATCTTGACTCTGTGAAAAACGTGATTTCGCGAGGTGCTGCCAGACGCCCAAAAATTCGCCATTAATTGATGGTCGGTCAGATAGTTCCATGGCTCTGAAAGAATGCAAAAGCAACATCTTGTCGATTGATGGAACCAAAACTGCAATCGAACCGTTAACGTTTCGCATTGAAATCCGATTGCATAGGCTAGATTAGTCACATGTTCCCTTAGTAACTGACGGGTTGAGCTTCATATGAAACCAGGTTCAGAACCACCCGTAACCATCATACCACTTCTATTCTTACCACTTCAGCTACATCCAATCACCTATCAAGCTATACCAATCTATCTTATTGCCACTTTCGTCGAACTCTAGATCGGCTGTATCTACTACATGAGTTCCGGGTTCTAACTGACTGCCATTCTTTGGACAGCTGTGAGTACGGCGTCCACAGTTGATTGGATGTTAGTACTCACTTTGAAGTATTTATCCTTGGCGGATCATTATTCCAAATTTCTGTGATTCTGCTAGTCGGATTTCACTTGCGACATGCCGAATATGATTAAAGCCTAATGGTAATGCACATACAGTCGCTTAGCCTAGATCCATTCCTTTGCGAAACAGGAGGCGATAGAAATTGCTTCAAAGTAAATGGTTACAAATGACATAAACTAACTCACAAACTGTCCTGAGTAGTGCCATCCGATAGTAACAGTTTTGAGGAGCGTCCCTGTTCACACATTTAATAATCTGGAGACCCTTAATCTGTAGATCTTGCTGGAACAGTTTTTACATCCTACAGTGGATGTGCTGCTGTAAAGCTCACTGGATCACGTCAGTCTTCGAGACTGAGTCATTGGTATGCTGCTTTCCTAATACCGGATAGTTTATTCCAATATGAAATCTTACCGGTGTGACTCATTCCTGCTCCAGCGACNCAGCGACCTGAGAAACTTTATGACTCAGGACCTACAAAGCCAAGCTGTCCATATGGATGGTTCAACTTCTGAGATACGCGACTTTAACCTTCATTCCGGGTTTCAACGCCTATCTAAGCGCCGATAAGACAACCTTGAATCAAGGCAAGACACCGTCCTTAAGAATATAGCGTCAGTCAACCTTGGATCAAGGTCAAACAGTGCCCTTAAAAATATAGCGCGAGGCCATTGTGCTGGCACGCACTTGCTTGTTTGCAACAAAGTTGTTGTGTTCCTCGTCGACGAGCCTTTTTCCAGCACTAGACACTGGAGTGGGGGACAGCAGTCAGATGTAGCACTATCCAAACTCGATCTCTGGAAAAGTGCATGCTCTTATGGGTTCTCTATCTCTCATCAAACGTTCAGACTTTGATATTATTTCGGAATGTTCCTGTTACCAACAGTACTTGACGGGTTTTACTACCAAAACAGAGCTCCCATAGAACAATAGTGACTATTCGGAAAGGCGAGTATCAGATAGCTTTCCTGAAGATAAAATAACGCTTACTGTCGGCCCCTTTAATGAGCGCGTGATGGTTGTTACCTCATTTATTAGCCCAGGAGCTGCCTTAGCTTGGGTGTGAAAAAACATCGCTGTTGCATCGCGCGAAATGACGTCAAATGACACGTGTCAATCTCTTGAGGAAACGAAGCGCACGTTTGCGTAAGAGCAGGTGGGATGTGGAATCTTCATTCGTTCAGTTGTTTATGCTTACTATTAGTTGTGCTGTGCTTACTGCACGATTCCGTCGGGGATCAAAAGAATTAAACCTCTAATGGATAAATTGATAGTGTGCTGACTTTCATATGGAATATCGTTCATGTGCCGAGATTTCCACGCCTTCCTCTGGTTGATATGGGTCTTGTAGGAGATGCCAATGATATCATTTTCGGAGCACTGAATCCTTTTATCCATTTCATCAGAACAGTCAGAACAGACATAAGCTACGAGATGGCAACACTTCAAATTGTCTTCATCAGTCACAGACGCAGAACGGTTATCAACTATGGGTGATGGACACAGTAACAACGAGTTAGAGACGTCGAGTTAAAGCGTCTTATTCGTGTTCATTTCCAGAGTAGTCGAACACAGTTTTTATGCCCCTGATTTGGGTTGCTGTACTCGTATAAGAATTACCTAACAGAAAGCGTAGCATGTATGGGCGACCACACATTTGAAGCGACACAACAGGATACGCGTTCAAACGGATAATCGAAGACGGATTTATCCACTCATGTTACTAAGGCTGGCCGTTACGGATTTAATGACTTTCTGGAGGATACTGTGCCTACAATGACCATTCGATATATTTTGTTCGATGCATACTGGTTGGTTGCGGGATTTGTGGAATTCACATTCGCGTCACGCGTTCGAAATAGTCTTTGCACAACTATTTTTGCATTCACTGCGGGCTCAGCCACAAAAACTGTACACATGTAAATACACGATCGGTAGCATTGCGGCCTTGCTTGCTCTCCCCGAGTTGGTTTGCTTGATGTCAGACCCATGCGCTTTACCTACGCTTTCGTCTTCCATGTGGGCCTGGTCACATCAGCCTTTCGCTATCATTTGTCAGTGGTTGGTTCCTGCACTTCCTTTCTTGAAATTTGTCCTGGATTTTTCTATGCACGTGAAGTGAACGGTCCGGTTTTTTATTCAGGCTACTTCCTCCTTGTTGACATAAAACAGGCTTTTTGTCAGTGGCTAAACCTACGGTTTACCCATCTAATCGCTTTTAACCAGGTCAATATAACAAACTGCACTTGTAGGGATTTATCATCAACTTGGAAAAAATTCGGTCGACAATGATGCACTTTTGCCCGTTCAGAGATGCAAAGCCAGATTTGACGAAACTGTAAGCCTGACGTCCCTAAAAAGTGGCAAGTATCAAGCGATGGTGACGGTGTACTGGTCATATGGGAGGCGTGAGAAACCTGAACTTTCGGTCGGCTGAAGGTTTTTGGAACAAAACCGGAACAGCTACTGATCACTGTGCTCATAAGATAGGTTATTTCTGAGACACAATCCTTGGGTTTTGTCCGAAGATCCCAGTGCTACGTTTGAGTAACGTGCGACAGAATGAAAGTCTAACATGACAGTCATGAATCTTTCTATGAGAAACGGTCATGGCAATCACTGAAAAACCCCAGTACACCGAATTTGGCTCTAACAATGAGCGGCTTTTTCGGATTCCATATGAAATAAAACTGCGTAGTCTCGGTGATGGGACTAATAAGGCGTCTCATAATGGGACCACAGCGTTTCTGAATTGTACGCTAGTTATAAGCCAGTAGATATTTCCATAAGCAGTCAAATCCATTCAGTGTTGTTTTGCTTTCTGCATGACATCTCAGTTCATTCTGCGGTTTAGTTGAGGCCATGGAGCACTGTCTTTCTGATGTACAACACTGAATTTTGTGAAAAGAAACTGAAAACTGTGCTTTTAACCTTAATCTTGACCGGTTGGCGTTCAGACCAACTCATGGGCAGGAGTGAGTAAAAAGTCTACGAAAGATAATCACACAGACCGACTAACTAACTACTGGAATCTGAGGACAGAAAAATTGTTCTATTCCCGATTGGTCATCTTGAAATAGTGTTTCTGTCGTTTGAAACCTCATGCGCCCTCCCATCGTCGAATATCACAGTCATGCAAAGCATAAAGCCAGTTGACGTGGAGCAGATTTTGTACCCTTGGCCCTGAACTGATTTTGATTTTAATACCCAAAACCGTTACGTTTTTATGAGATATAATTGCTACAAAGGGCTCTGTTTCTGATGTTTATGGAAACCCACGAAACATTGCACCAAGCGAGTGGTTTTTTGTTTCCTGAGTTCAGTATTCTACGAAGCTGCCATGTTTTGCCGTGTTTGTTTCCCAATGGGGGACATTGAAAGCCCCAAACATCGGCTGGTTTTCATCAACCTCAATTCAATCTGTTGTTGCAGTTGTCGTTCAAACACATTTTCAGGCTAAAATGCCGATAAATACATCGGTTGATCAAGGAGCTCACGGTGACTGGCGCACGAATATCTCAAAGTGGAAATCGTCGAGAAATGTGACTTCGTCTGTCAATGTGGTAGTACCGATACTTCGGTAAAACCGTAATTTAATTAACTCGGATTGCACCAATGCGTGGCTGAATGTATACTCAGATACCCAAGGAAAGCTACCAAAGACAATACTGCGGACAGGTCCAACACCGTATCAACAATTTCATACGTCCACGTTAAGTTCACAGTAGCCCCAACGGGTCATACATGTCAGAATGTACACAAGAGAAGACAAACCCCAGTGACTAAAAAAACGCACTCTGTAAAAGCCTATAGTTGTGAGGGTAGCCTCACCAGAAACTCATGAAAGATACTCTAGGACAATGTACTCAAGCTCACCCATTATTTGGAATGCTTGAACATCCTATTACGCAGTACAGATAAACTACACTACTCTGTTTATCAAACCGAATGGGGTTGAATTTCAGGCCATGTTGTGGCGGTGTGGTCGCCTATGAACCTGTCAGTAGTATCGTGTGAGAACACATTCAGGTGAAAATAAATTCGAATAATTGATCTTGTCGGGTAAATTGAAGTAAAAATTGCTTTACTTATGACTGACAACAAAAACTAATTTACTTCCAGTCAGTTCCTTTAGAGTTATTTATTTAGTATGCAGATGAGTTTCTTTTGCTTCGGTTGTGTAGAAGCTACGGGATATCAGAGCCTACCGGCCCGATCAATCAAAATTGTCTTGCCCCAGGCTGGCCCAATTAACGGCCGCCTCCAATGAATGAAGAAAATGGTTCCGTGATTGCGCCATCCTGCTTTCGTGTGGCTTTGCGCCTAGTTAACCTCCGTTCAACCCCTCTATCCCCGTTTTAGGGATCGGTTTTGGACTTATATACGTTCCGGCTGCAACCACAGTTACTGCTTGGTTCGTGAAGAAACGGGCCACGGTAACGGGGATCATTACGGCCGGCAGTGGGATTGGTGTGACTTGTTACAGTTTGGTTATCCCCCATCTAATTCAGATGTTCACGTGGAGGGGATGCATTCTACTTTTGGCGGCCGTCAATCTAAATGCGGCAGTTGCTGGTGCCTTGTTTCGTCCATTGCAACATACATGTCCGGCTGCCATGGATAAGAAAAAAGGCCGTATGGATCGATCAAAGTTGCCGGCAGTAAACGAGAATAGCGGTGAAGAAACGGAACCCAATATTCGAAAGCCTCCCAGTGTCTCACGTTTCCCCAAGCAGACCCAATTCCTCTCTGCACAAGAAAAGTCAAATATCCAAGTGTGTTCAGCTGTGCTCTTTACATCTTACGTATTTCCTGTTGTAAGAAATCCAGAATTTCAGTACATTTAAGACAGTTCTTGTTTGATCATAATGAGTAGGTTAACTGTCTCGTGTTTCTTCATAAGTGACTACTAGATTTCTCTCCAAAACTAAACCAGATCATGTTAACCCTTGTCGGTTAATCAGTTTTCGTCAGCTGCTTTCCTTTGAACACGCAGTTTTATCAGTTTCCCCTAAGACTCGTCCACGAGGATGACAGATTTTGCCTGTTCAACTGCCGTTAGTTTGTTTTACCAAGTCACAGTCAGATCAAGGTAGATAACACCTATAAGACCCTACTCTTTTCTTCAGGCTTTACCCAGTTCTACCCAACGAAGCAATTGACAATCATCTTACCCTTGCTGAACAGCTTCCTTGAGCTGTAGCGTTTCAGCTAGGGGGCAACGGAGTTGCACAATCAAATGGCTACTAGATATTTGGGCAACTTCTCGCTCGCATATGCATTCTGATTGATTCACGCGGAATTTTTCGAAGCGTATCTGAGTCGATCTAAATGCGTTACAAGATTAAATTCTGAACGTTAGTGACGACTCCCTGTCTTTTCCAGTGACAACCTGCAACGTAAACTCTTCCTGTTATGCGGATGGTGAGTCATTGTGGGAACAAATTGCACAGCTTTTGGGCAGAGAATGACGAAAACCAGTCTCACGCTGATCACCTATAGGTTAAGTCAAGCGCCTCCGCACTTGCTCACTCCAACTGTCCCCTCCCTGAAACAGCGTAAACGGAACTGTGTGAATGTGCACAGATGACTTACCCTACCCACTGTTCGTGCCCTGAGGCCTGTTCTGTGGTGATATTCGTGTGATCGCACCGCCAATCAGAATCACGAAACTAGCTAGGAATGGACGATCGCAGCCCACACTAAGGTGCCAACAGTCCACTCGCCGTTCAGTTGTGTGCGAACCTTGACACTGCCCTGTGCGGATTGGCGACAAAGTTACGCACCTGTGGACAACTGAAGCATGTTGCACGATGTTGCCTACATTTGCGTAAATAGTGTCGCACACAATCGAACGCAACTCTCCCTTTTGATATTCGGGGTCGTCAAACCTACGAATGACTCAGCTCCGTATCGGTAACCTCAACATCACCACAATATTTGACGGTGACATACTGATCAACCCCGTATACAGTATGACCATTTGAAAACGCTACAATGCGGGCAGACTGCAGATGCGACCTTCGAGCGCCCCGGACGGCTGTGTAACCCGAATGGATCCATTTACTGCAACGACTCAATCCATGTTCACATGGTACAACACCCTAGGCTGTGTTTTGTGCTTAGCGAGTTCATAGCTTCATTGTCATCTTACGATCACCAGCCTCCTCGTAGGAAAACCCCTTTTCTCGACACGAACAAACTTTGAATAATTAAACTGGAACTCAAAGGTGGGTTAGAACGCAACTAATCTGGAAAGCTCGTGAAATTTCATACGCTTATCACGACCGTAAAAGAAGTTGGGATGTCTCAAAGGTGGCTAAAAATCCGACTGGATTACATGGTCGTGCTAGTGTTCAAAGGTTTCCTTTAGATTTGACCTAGGTCAATTAAATTTTGGTTCACGTTCTCTTTTATTGTAAAAGTAGTCCGCCATTGTTGAATCAAGTGGTTAGAGCGCGAATTTACTGACCACAAGGTCCGTGGTTCGAATCCAACCTCTGCCTCTCGACTTCCCCTGCCTAGGCTTTGGCAACTTGGTAGTATCCCAGCCCTTGTGCTTCCTCTGGGTGGCGTGGCAGCTAGGAACCGAAATGCTGTTACAGCTGAACGCTGAATCTTCCACTGCTGACAAGGTTGCGGATAACAAGCTCGCACTCGGATATCTGTCCTACCTAATCAGAAATAGGCGTTCACTTCGAACAACGTTGCGGTCAAATCTTAAACTTGAAAGCCAGGAAATCAAGTGCGTTTGCTAATTGGACCTCTGTTGTGTTGTGCGGTGGCCGAGCTATGGGGTTACGCCTGCACTGCGCCTGCCAGACTACGCGATAGGGAGAAGACAGAGAACTGGGGACACGGCTGTATTGGCAGGACAAAACATACAGAGCGTCTGCGTAAATATATGGGATGACTAATTGGCCAAATATGGTCGTTCACTTGTTCGCTTCGTACAGCCAATGGTGGTGTTCCGGTCGTGAACATTCTCAGGCCCACTACGCTGGTCGTGTGTTGCTAAGCCGTTTGGTGAGAGCCGCCAACTCATCTACTTTCCGGACGTGTCGTACCGATGGTGACCTTGGGGATGCGTCACTTTCTGCACATGTACTTTTTCTTCTGTCTGGGCGCGCCCTGACAACCTCAGATTTGCTTCTGCAAAAATAGGGTATGCAACGCCCGTATGGTGAGAATGAACCACAGAAATTGACGTCATCTTGCTATCCATTCATGTGTCAGTGGGGCCATGATGCTTATCCCGAATCACGACTTAATGTAGTCGGCATTCATTTTTGACACGATTTTGTACGTAAGCTAACAAGTCAGGAGGTTCTTTAAGCACTTTTGGTGGCTTCCGCAACACGCGCATGCGAAAAAGAAGGGCGAAGCTTGGAAGGTACAACGCTCCATCCCTGATATGATTTCGAGAAAACCGGACCTACTTGGTCGTTTTAGAGATATGGTCGTAGTGTGGAGAAATGAGTAGTTTGTCACTTGAGGGTACCGTGCTCGGTCACGTAGTCGTATTAGAGGCGATTCACTACAGTGGATGCGAGAGAGAGAGAGGGAATGTCACCAATAAATTCCATATTTCTTATCTCGTTTACAGCTCGTCAGTACACAAAGAATACAAACCGGGGCCTAATAAGCCTATATGGGAGTGTTGCACCTCGCGAAATGAAAACGGCTCATCCGTTCCTATGAGACTTCGTCGTACGCCGGTTTATTTTATGAGCAGTTTCAAACGTTTGTCAAACGCATTGCCAGATTTTATATTTTTGCTACGGCTGATTAGGCATCGGGGGGCCCATCGGGGTAACTGAAGCCGGTCACTTTGGCATATTCGGTCACGGTAAACTACGAGAATGGCGCACAACCAACCAGTTTTTCCCGTCAACCGGGTGTGCGCCACCAACACGTGTTTTGAAGGGGCATCTTACATGGTAATCTAACAATAGTAGAACAGTGATTCAGATTTGCTTCTGCAAAAATAGGGTATGCAACGCCCGTATGGTGAGAATGAACCACAGAAATTGACGTCATCTTGCTATCCATTCATGTGTCAGTGGGGCCATGATGCTTATCCCGAATCACGACTTAATGTAGTCGGCATTCATTTTTGACACGATTTTGTACGTAAGCTAACAAGTCAGGAGGTTCTTTAAGCACTTTTGGTGGCTTCCGCAACACGCGCATGCGAAAAAGAAGGGCGAAGCTTGGAAGGTACAACGCTCCATCCCTGATATGATTTCGAGAAAACCGGACCTACTTGGTCGTTTTAGAGATATGGTCGTAGTGTGGAGAAATGAGTAGTTTGTCACTTGAGGGTACCGTGCTCGGTCACGTAGTCGTATTAGAGGCGATTCACTACAGTGGATGCGAGAGAGAGAGAGGGAATGTCACCAATAAATTCCATATTTCTTATCTCGTTTACAGCTCGTCAGTACACAAAGAATACAAACCGGGGCCTAATAAGCCTATATGGGAGTGTTGCACCTCGCGAAATGAAAACGGCTCATCCGTTCCTATGAGACTTCGTCGTACGCCGGTTTATTTTATGAGCAGTTTCAAACGGTTGTCAAACGCATTGCCAGATTCTATATTTTTGCTACGGCTGATTAGGCATCGGGGGGCCCATCGGGGTAACTGAAGCCGGTCACTTTGGCATATTCGGTCACGGTAAACTACGAGAATGGCGCACAACCAACCAGTTTTTCCCGTCAACCGGGTGTGCGCCACCAACACGTGTTTTGAAGGGGCATCTTACATGGTAATCTAACAATAGTAGAACAGTGATTCATATGGATCACGTACTCGTCCGGTCGCACTGTGCTTCTTCTGTTGAGAACTGTAGAATATAGAGACATCTCCCTATATATTTTGGCAAATTCGAGGAAAGTGTCTGGCAAACAGCTCCTGGAGTTCAGCCTATGTGATTTAGCCAGACAGTTTACCATGGATCTCCGTCTGGCAATTACCAGGTGGATAGAACTCGTTGGTCAACTGCTTAATGGCGCATCGAAGAATTCCATGAAAGTCCCGCCTATGGACCCCGCGACTACATATGATTTTAAGTGTAGCACCCTGACAGAAGAGAGGGTCGTCTAAAGGATAGGAAAACCGTTGGGGAAGATGGCTTTCCGGCCGAAACAAATAAAAGACGTACATTCTTACTCCGCAGTCCAGTGTATAAACTATTTCACTGTGTAGGGGAAAAAACTGGGTGACGAACGAATGTATGACCGCCACCTTATCGATGCAGTTGTCGAAATCCTCCTTATGCTCTCACTCGATAAGATCTCCGGTGTTGGACACGTGTGCCCCTGACCTAATAAAACTTATCACATCGCTCAAGCGCGAACATGTTTCGGACGTGACAGTTCAGGCGCCTCCGGTGTGCTTTGATGGATGGTGATAACACTGGACTGTCAGACGACATGGCTGATGATTTGCGTGGCTGATTGTTTCTAGTAGAAGCAATACTCATGTCCATGACTTCTCTTCTTTGCTGTGAACTAACCAGAATAAGTGCTGCAGTATAGGAGTGATGTGAAGGAAAAGGGGCTTCCGCCAATGTAGCTGTTGTGTCGAACACCGGAACATCCTGTGTGCTTAACACACATCTGCTCCGCCTTCGTCTCAGTTCACTGTGATGCAGTAAGCTTATAAGATTGCCATTCGCGCCGTGGGTCATAACCAGTTCATTCTTCGATCACGCAATCTGGTTCCAAGTCATTTTTTACCTCGCTAGGTCAATCGCATAGGAACCTCAATTCAGGGAAAATATTAACAAGAGGTCAGACCTGATGACAAGTGCTAATCATACGCAGTTCTTTTCCGTAACTCACTATACAGCAACTGGCCCGGCAGTATGTGGAATCCGCGGACACTGTGGCACAGAATTTGACCCAGGTGGCTGAGGAAAACCTGGTACTGTCGAATCCCGGTCTAAGCGATGGGGTTGCGAGGCGAATCACACGGCGCGAGACCTCACGTAGGTCAAATACTTCTTGGGATGGTAAGTGCTGAGTCTTATCATATTTATGCCGCTCAATCTCATTGAGAGATTTTTAGACTTCATGGCATAAACATCCTGCTCCATTGTTTATTCCCCAGACATAATTATCACACACGGGAACCAACTGGTACCTCTGCCCGAGGGCGTGCCTTTGGCAACATCGAAAGAGAAGCTTCCTAAGCTCAGCATGGATGCAGTTAATCGCATAGTAGAGGAGGTGCTCGGCCGTCAGGCCTTTGCTTCAACTACTAGTCTTGCCGCCACCGAAAAGCCAGTTAAAAGTAAGGCTCCAACTGCATACACTGGCAGTCAGCGTTGGTTGTCTTCAACGCACTCTCAACTGGGACAAGTCAGCGTTCAACCGAGCGATAATGCCGTGGTCTACCTCAAGGTAAGCTTACCAAGTTATGTTTTTTTCCTTGTGGTTTGATTCCTTGTTAGCAGAGGTGTACTGTGATCGTTTTATGTTTGTGAGGATATCTCCATGTTAAGTTGATTTACCAAAATTGTAGCACTGGAAAACCGTGTTTAGACGTAGGTTGGTTAGACGTCCTTATATTTTACGGATGTCGCGACAGAGGTATAAAGTTTTCCCAATATGAAGTCAAGATGTCTCGGGAGAGTAGTTAACCTGCTGAGTGAAACTCGAAATGTTACGTCCAACCATCAAACATTTAACTTCCAAATTAAGATGTGTCGGAAATTCTCAGCAGGACATTTTGTTGTACACATAGGGGCGCAAAATGGTCAACTTCCCAGTAGAAGAATATGGTGGTGATTCACATCTCGGAACAATACTTTCACCCCAAGCTTTAAAAGCTGAGCTCTGGGGGAATGAGAAAAAGGAACCCTTTTGATGCTCCAAATTCAATCTGATAATAGTGGGCTGAAGCTCAAATTTCACATAGTTAAGCTGCTATCCGCTAATGGAAGCGTTGACATGCCCAGATGCAACCTCTAAATCTATGCTCCTTTGTCTGAAAATGGTCTGGCGCTATTTAGACGCCGTCTAACTAGGAAACAGTATATTCGGGTCTCTATCAGCTTGGATTTAAAACTACACCAAGCAGGACTGCCATTATTCGGTAGAAAGATCACCATTATATATGAGTTGCATTCTGCGTATTTGAGTGCTTTATCAAAAATGCCTAACTTCCCCACCTCGTGAAATAGTGTAATTTACATTTCGAACAGCGCAACAGAACGAGATGATCAAGGCGGCCTAACATAGTCTTCTAGGTTGTATGTTGTTTGCCATTCGTTATTCATTTGCGAAAGTTGTCCCAAATTTCGACCACCACAAACAACGACCTCGAGTCGCCGTTCTTGTCAGGTTTTTTTGACAACCTCCTCTAGATCTAATGACGAAAGTTGGCTGAAGAAGGTCCTTCATACACTCACATCTTGTGGGTGTTAATGTACAGTTCGAAGGGCAATAAATACGATTGACTCACTTTGCAACCGGGTCAAGTTCTAGAACCTGATGGTGGTACAACAGGAAAATGATGGAACGCATCAAAACGTAAAGCCTTGTGGCTGTGTTTAACCTTTCCGTCGCAAGTCCAATTTGCATTCCATCGAATTTTAAGGGTAATATTTTCTCACAGACTACAGGGCTTTGTAGTTTCCACAAACAATACACACACAAATAACTCTTTCATTTTGGAAATGAGATCACATGGATAAGGATGCGCTTGCCTTGAGATCACTTCTTCGTACATTTTCGGATCCGAACGGAAAGTCAGTTGAGCAGGCTTTTCTGTCATACTCTAAGCGGTTTGCTTTACTCAGACACACAATCGTGCCCTTGGGAGAACCCGCTTTCAGTACCACCACAGATTGCTTTTTTCTTGAACAAAAGGCTCCATGGGAAACATCAGGCTCGAAATTCCGGTGGAGTGTTTAGATTACAGTAACATCCTTTCTAATTGAGTTGCTGATTCAAGAACATCCGCACCGTATTCAGTACGAACGAAATTCAACGGGTCAAGTGTTGTGGCACCTAGTTCAGTTGAGTAACGAGGGAAGGGCTTTAGTGCTCAGCGTTTTCACCACTTCAAGGACATGAATTCATTCCGCAGTTGCCTTTTTCAAACTCATCCCAGAATCACAATAGTTTAAACGTTTGTGGGGATTTTCGAGACCTCGTGAATTTGATTGCACATCACTCTCGCATGAAGTCTTCTGTCTGTTCTACCACAGATGTTCTTGTTTTGTGGACCAACCGGAAGACTTGCAGGATTACAGGAAGAGTGTGTAGACTATTGGTTTTGAGGTGAATAGGATGCGTAGGCTTTATCTGATCAGCGCTCTCTCTTGAAGGTCTCTTCTTTGGGAGTGGACAACTTTCTCAAATTTTGTGCGAAAAACACCACTCGGAGCTTCTAAAATGCTTCTAGAATATGAACACTTGGGTTATAGTAAAATACGATGAGTTTTCACCACAGCGTGATGCTTGGTTTGTGATTTTCTGTTGAACCGGGTAACTTCTGTTTCGTCTAAACATTCTTCTGTTGCGGTTACACAGCCCTCGCTTGATGCTTTATGGCTTCGCCTAGTTTTCTCCATTTTTAGGTTATATCTTCGTCCAACTAATTGCATCTTTTCTCATCACTGGCATGGCCATTAATCATGAGGCCGTATTCACCATTTCACTAAGTGGTCACGCTAAGCATCAGGCAGGGCGTAAATGGTGTTCCGCACACTGTTTAACCATCTCCCACTCAAAGTTTCGGCCCGAGAATAAAACCGAATAGCCTACACGATGAACTGTTTACGTATGTGTATGAATATCGTAACTCCATCATAACTAATGTCGGGTGAACAACGTTCGGCTTGAACCTTGGATACAAGGTTCACCGGGGAGAAACACGGCTCCCTGTGTCTGGAACCATTCTCTCAATGCTAGTTGATAAAGCCCTTGAATGGGTACCGGCCATTCGTCCAACTTCGGTCACGTCCGGCGGTCCACGAACAACATATCATCCGATGCTTAGGGAGTGATATTGTTCCCTGATATTTGCATTTCGCCCCGGTTTCCCCCTTCAAATGGAAGTTTGAACCCTTCATTCCAAGACTTCCGTTATGAAGTTTAGCATCACATGTTCTCAGCGACACACTTATGGTAATCTTCTGTGAGAAAAACTATCCAGAGAGAACAATTTCTGGTTTGTCTCATCGCCCCCACCTAAAGAAACCTTACAGAATCACCACTATCATCATTAGACAACGAAGCCACTAATTTTTGAAGACCACAAAAAGTAGGTTTATTTTTAGAGTACTACAAAGATACACTGTGTTTAAAAACAATATCCATTCACTCCCTTATTTGAGGAAAAACATTCAAGTGGTACACTGTTCTTCACCGGTCTATTGCAACAAAAGACTATTGTTATCGTTACTGCGGCGCCTTTTTATTCCACGAAATAGCGAGATCCTCGCACGACTCTGCTCTACGCTTCTACGTGACTGCATACACAGTTTTGTCTTACACTACGATGCGCAAGATCCCTATAAGCTACAGTTTTACCCCACTATTTTCTCATTTTGTATGTGATTCTGAGTAAATGAAACCAGTGCTCTAACCGATACTATACTTAGCGACAAACTATATTTCGAGTGCATATGGTTACTTAGTAATGCCCCTATCCAACAACCACCACGTAGTGGCATCTGCAATCTGTTCAGTTGGTCGTTTACTGAGCCTATGTGCACATAAACCCTCATTTGAAAAGTAGTTTGGTTCTAACGGGGTAGTAAATTGAATGTCGGTCGAATCTTTCGTTTATGATTTCGTAGGTCTACCTAACCAACCTTTATAAATAGTGCCTCATCATTATCGTGGAACCCGATCCATGTAAAGTCGGAACTTTAACAAAATCCCCTGTACGAGCAGCATTTGTGTACCATTTTCCTCTCTATCAGAGGTAAACGGTGGGCGAAACGTTACATTTTTACACACATACACACAAACACAAACTATGTGGATTGTGCGACAACCTCCAGAACAATGATTACAGAAGCCAATGTGCTGCTTACTGTCTAAATGTTAGAAATGACTGACAACAAATGAACCAAGTCGAAATCATACCCTTGTTCATGTAAGCGTCCGTAGTGAAAGTCCCGCGTGATCATTTGGCCTCATCATAATCCCCCAGCAATACAATGGGTTCTACGTGGAACTAAACAGACATTGGGTCGGTGAGCGGCTTAAGGGGAAACGTGTTGTCTCCTGGATAACGGGCTAGGGTACTTCACACTGCCTATGCTTAGCCGATGTGACCGTTTTGAATATTCGGGAGACAACCAGCAGGACATCTATTGGAAGTTCTGGATTTTTGAGACACTGGATTTGCGACACTTGCATACCATCACCCGATGAAATTAACATAACGAGTTTAGATACTTGCTGCGACACGGAGTGCGTGAAGCAGACTTCATCTGTGGCGAACTACAGCTCCTGGTACCCAGCCTCTTTTCAAATCTTGACATATTCGCACGCACATTACATTCTTTGGACAAAACTTTCGTTCACGCCGTCGGTGATTCAAGTCAAAATCCTGAATCCTGATAGTTCGCAGTGTCGAGGAGGTTGTTGCTGAGACTAGGTTCGGTGTTGATGCGCTGGATGCTGAACGATATGCAAGTAAAACGTATCCAGTGTCTCGTAGGTTTCCTTCTTCCTCCAAGCTTCTGAAGAGCCTCGGAAAATACTTCGTATGTTCATTTGACTGCAGGCAAAGTAATTGAGAAGAATTACAAGACTGGAGAAAGTGCAGCGAGGAGAACTGAAGGCCGTTTTTACTGGCACTCGTCTCTGGGATCTCTAACTAGACCAACAAGAGAGAGGAACTAGTTACCGGGGTTAAAACTGTATGTGGTGGAAGCATTTCTGGTATCTAAACTAGGTACCAACAGCAACAAGATATCATGTGTCACATAAAGGGCCGACGAAACAAACGCTAATTTGAATGCAGGGTCTTCTTGAGATTGGTCTAGATTTTATTGAACATTCGCCTGCTAGTTTTGCAGCGCTCATACATTGATGATAGCATCAGACCAACTATTCAGTTTATTCCACGAATGATGAGACAATGGTTCGCGGGTGACTGACAGCAAGATGCATCTGATCAATTCGTTGAAGAACTGTGTAATGCCGCCAAGATCATAACGTAGCAGACAGCTTATAACACGCAACACTTAACTGTTCTTGAAATCATTCTCGACAGATGCAGACCATCCTTTCTGCAGATAGCACATGATGCGTTGAGAGACGGTCGTTTTTTTTGCAGTATCGGCTCTAGTCCCTGCTGTGATTGGTCGTCGATGCACCTTCTAAGCTCCAGAAATTGATTCATATTCATACTGTTCTTCTGCTTGTTCCACTCCACTTTTCAGCCTGATAACATGGGAAGTACATCCTATTTCGCCTCAGCAGTCTCATTAAGAGCCATTCCCGATATCAATGCTGGTGCCATTGACGAACAGGCTATTCACGATGCTATCATGAAGGAACTGCGCAAAGAAGTTGCCCGTCCCGTGCATAGGAAAGACTTGTTTCTGAGTGGAAGTCTTATTCACATTAATGAGGTGAGTTATCTTGCTACCGTGATTGCACCAACTTCATATTTCAAATGCTTTCTCGATTCAGCCATTTTGAGGTCATGTATGCACTGAAACGGAGACACTGTCTAAGAAGAGTTAGCCCATTTCCTGTTAGTCGATTTAAAGGGAACTGAAATTCTGTATTACATTTAACATGTCCTTTTTCATCACCTGTACCGTCCCCTTACATTCAGCCAAGTGGATATCAGCACATTATCGCCAATGCGAACAGTTTGAAGGCAGCTGTCTCAGAATTCATTTGCAAGGCATGGGGATTTTGGTTGTAGGATGCGAACATTTGATTCGCCCCTATAAATCACGTAAATTAAACATTCGATGTTTATAAGACAGACATACAACAACAGATTTTATATGGGGTTCGGTTAACCCCACGTACGACTCAACGTTTTCAGTGCACAAATGGAGGGGCGTCAGAATCACTTCACTGAAAGTGTGATGGCTCATCTGCATGATGGGTTCATCTTTCTATGATGTACGAGTAACTGCCCCTGAAGTGGCCACTTCAAAGTACCTACAAAGTGTTCTCTGAGATCGTCTGCTCAGGAAGCGATTTCACTTCAGGGGATTGAGACTCCTCATGGGTGTGGTCTCTTTCAAGGACTGAGATCATTGTGATATTTTCATGGTGAATTATGATATTAAAACGTGAAAAATTTAAACCTTAGGGGTTTCAAATGGTGCGATATATAATGTACCATAAAAATGCAACTTTCCATGGCATACTGCAAGTCAGGTAATGTAAGAAAATGGAAAAACCGCTGCAAAAAACATTGGTCATATGAGATGTTTCAAGTTCCGGTATGACTAATCGATATGTCAACAGTTAATGTGTACCCTACAGTCAGTTAGGGCTGGAAATTAGTTATTCAATCTCCCTTCGCAAAACCGGTTTCATCGGCCCCGACCTACCAGAGTTATATTTAGCCCTTCACAGACGTGAGATGCAGTCGAGCATTTATCATGAAAAACTTCATAAATTTCACCCTGCTTCTATGATACATTTGAGTTTCCTCTTTATTCGGAAATTTGAGCCTTGACGTGCGACGGACTGGGACGTGACCGTCCTACCAAGGTTGCTGGTTGATGGTTGTCTCTGGTATTCTTACCGTTTTTATTTCGCACACTTTTGGGTTCAAAATAATTGAGTTGGTTTATTCTGCCAAACAGAATCCGTTGCCACAATGGCGATGAAAAATCTTGAGACTGGATGTTCGATTGATGGATGTCCGTCCACTCATTCGCATCAAACAACACCCTTGCGTCTTTCCCTGACGATCTGAGCTGCTCAGGTGACGCTTGCGGCGACAAATGAGCCTTCTAACGAAAAGACCGTGGCAAAGCATTAGAAATAGCTTCATGCTGGCGCCAATTCGGTCGGATTTAGTGTTAAAACATACCCACGCAGTCCGACACTGTACATCAATAGCATTCGTACTTTCCGAGGAAGTTTGGTGTCTCTGACGGAATGAACCTCATTCTGCTTATCTGATTTCGTTCCTTATGTTTGACACGACGAGTAGCAACAATTTGTACTGATTCCGAAAAGAGCACCCCAGGATAAAATTATTTATGCTGTACTAGGACTTGTCTTTCCATTGGAAGATGGCTCGTTTTCGCGTGACTCTCTTGAGGGACTACCCTGTCTCTACAATGTCACATCATGCCTAGCTATATTAAACCATGTGGTTGTGGGCGTTCATGTTTCGGTTCTTTGTTTGGTTTAAATGTTGATACTCAGTTCGCGGACGGATAGCGCATCCTTCCATCTGTTGCTAGTGCGTACGAGCCGATAGATAAGCAAAGCAACCAGATGTTTGACCCGAATTAACTGACAGACCAGTTGCAGTTGGGACTAACGTGATGGCAAAGGCAGCACAGTGCACGTGATGTGGAGTGGATTTCAACTGAAAAAGACAGACAAAGCAAAGTACACTATGTCTGAGTTTCGCCCATATCAAAATTAATCACTAATGTATACTTAGCCATGATAGTGGATAATATTGCTGACAGTTTGACTACTTGTACGGCAGTTGTTTTCTTGTGGGCATTAGCAGACCGTGTTCTAAGTAGGTTGAAAGAGTTGTCGAATCTTCTACACTGTTTTGAGTTGCACGGTACCACATAGAGCAGATGCGTAGTCTCTGCTGACGGGAACACAACTATATTTTATAAGGGGCTTTACAGTTACCCGAGTATGCGACAGTCGAGAAGCATGGCATCTTAGAGATAAACCCGCCTCGCATCTGCACCGGTCGAAGAAACAAAACGTGGTACATATGTGGTGCATGAAATGCTATCATAAACACCCTGTGTTTATTTTATTTCTCTGGTATCCTGTTGCCAAGATTGACGAAATTAGGTACAGTGATGATCGAATCCAGTGTTATGTTGTAGTTGTAGTCTGATTCCGAATTCGATCTCATTCAGATTGATTTGTTGTGATTAGTTAGTCTCAAGTATGCGATATACTGGCGAACAAGTTGTCACAAATTCGTCTCAGGTGTGCAGTTCGCGTAATTGCTGTGCGTTATTGATCCGTCTTAACATCGGACTCGATGCTTGTTTGGTTCGTACGAATCCTTGGGCGAGCAGCACGTGTATAGGCGCCGTTTGAACCCGGTTAGGTCACATACTCAGCCCCTAGACTCAAAACTGATTAATCCCGACGTTGTGTAGATAATGCTCAAGTGGGCAAAAGCTATCTGCGTCTTTCCGATTGGTCGATCCCGACGTGCAGCAACGTAGGATCGTATAACTAGAACGAACAGACTTTATATCACGAACGAGAGGTTCAGTGGATTCTCCCGTAAAAACCAAATTGATTTGAAGATGAGTGTTTTTATCGAAACTTCATGCTTCTTCGAATCAAATGAACAGTGTATGTAACCTGCAGGGTTTGTCGCAATGCATGTGTGTGTATACTCGTGCACGTGCAGTGCGCACAGCAACTGTTTCAGACCGCGCTATGCATGAGATTAGAAAGATGAGACGTCATCGTTGGATGAATGTCGGTGGTGCTCAAAAACGATGGACTTTGTTTATTAATCGTATCATTTCCTAATTTGAATAGAATGACGCTTTTGGTTGACGGAATGAGATTTTGTTCGAATTTCATTATTGGTAGCATATTTCAGAAAACAAAAGTGAAACAGTCATTGGAATTACTGTGTTGGCTTCTTGAGCGTCTAAGTTTCAATTCTTGCAAATTAGAAAGTCTATCGGGCGATTTCGGAAAGTAAACAGACATCCGTACTCATATCGAGACCTAACATTATTCTCCTAATCGATTTTTAAATAGAGGGCTGGAATAAATTATCCCTCAGCATTATGTTGCCGCAATCCCACCCCACCGGATTGTCGTTATCATCTCGTAACAACATGATATTTGATTTGCTTGCGTACAGTCTGGATACCAAACCTCTTGTATCTGCTGACGATGCGGGTCTGTGTGGAGTGCGTCTTTCCTATACTATCCAAACTAAACGTCTGTAGTCCTCCAGGAAAGTTTAAACTACACACGTACCATGCAAATGCACTCTAGCTTTAAATGCTAAAAGTCGTCGTAATATTTTACTGAACCGTCCTCCCGGGTTGGTTTTAGAAGCGTCGTTATTTATTATAAATCGATTAGACTGAGTCCAGCTCCAGAACATTCCGGTTAACTTATCCTACCACACGTTTATTTGTGTTCTGCAGTACTTGGCCACTCCAGATGTGGAGTCATTCATCAGACAGGTCACTGTTCCAGCCGAGGAAATCCAAGCCAAAAGTCCAATTATGGCTATGCTACGCAGTATGTTTGGTGTCAGCATTCTCCGGAGTCCAACGTTCCAGTTACTGAACATTTCCAGTATAATCACTATGATCGGTAAGTCATTTGCCTCCCAAAACACCATGACATCCTGCGTAGATACTTTGCTATCTTGGAGACAAGAAATGATCTCAAGTTCACAGCCGGACAGTCTCAATCCTCATGTCGACGCTCTGTCTGGCGATGCGAAACGTGCACAAGATTTGGGCTACGGCAGTTGAAAATGACAGAAAGGATGATGTAACCTGTAACTAGTTGGTCAGATCACAAAGTCCTGAGGTTCTGAGTCAGGATCGGTGAGAAAACACGTATTTCACTCTGATTCATACTGTTAGTCAGTTCGCCCATAGACAGAATTGAAGATAGCAATTGTGTTCAGAGATTGATCCTACAGCTCAGACCAGTGGGTTTCCGCATTTACGTTATCAAGACATTCTAACGAACATCCTCAGTTGAGACTGTCATCATTTGATGGCCACGATTCCCTTGCTGTTTCCTGAAGGAAACTGTGATCTGAGCCACCATAGAGTTGACGCCTACTTTCTAATGTCATAGTGCGTAGTAAAATTCGGATGAGCTACGTATTCGAACAAGAAAGTGACATCGAATTCGATAGGAATAGAGGAAAAGTGTGATTGAGCGAAAACTTAAGACAAGTGACACTAAACTAATGTGTGGAAATCTACAAAGAAACTAGGATTGATGTTGGACAGCGTTCAATACGAAACTTAATTGAAATAGGGAAATTGTTGTCTAGAATCTGGAAAGTGATCTGTTTATTGATTAACTTGTTTATTCAGAAAACACTTTCGGAGTGGTGTTGAAGTCGTTCAGAAGACGTAGTTTATCCAAAACCGTGGTATTGAGGCAACTACAGCTAAAGCGGTAAGTAGCAATCATTTCCACCAACTATTAGCGGAAATCCTGAGTGGGCGGCCAAAATGATCCGGTACGAACAATGACATGGTGCCACCAAACGTAACAGAACGTGGTGAGTCATCGGTCAGATTAAGAGCAGCGAAGTAAAACCGCGTGAACGCTTGATTTGAATCTCAACTGAAATCGTATACATATAGGTCCTTATGGGTAAGAAGTGTTCCCAGTTTTCTATAAAGGAAAAATATTGTTAGCTCAGGTAGCGTCGATGGTCGTTGGCTTGTTCGCTGAGCTGGGCAATTTGATTGGACCACTAACCCACCGCTACGCACCACCCAATAACGCGCTGATGATGTCACCTCGATTGGTGATGAAACTTTTGCAATCAAATTGCCCAGCTCAGCGAACAAGCCAACGACCAGTGTTCCCCAGTGTCTGTGGGATCCGAATGAACAGAACCTAACGTCGTGAGGTAACACAGTATTACTGAACTTTGCTATTTCGGACTAAAGCTAAGAGTTGAGCCAGTTCCTCTCATGTACATTTCCCGATGTTTTAGTTTAGTTTGGTTAGTTTTGTTACTCGCTGTTTTTAGTCTGTGTGTAGGGGCCACTGAAATGCTGCGCTCACAGTGTACCACATGCTCTCAGGTGTCACCGTGATAATTACGATAGGCTTGTATTGGTTTGTATTGATTTATTGACAGGATTCTGCCCCGCTCATTTCAAACATGGATATTATCTTCAGAAATTTGAACAACCAGTCCATATTTTCAGTCGAATGTCCGTAATACGTTGACCACCCACACAGTCTTGAATGAACAAGAGCGATGCTCAACTTTGATGGTGGTTTGAACATGGTGGTCACTTTTGCTTGTCACCCATAACTGAGAGGTTTTTGGGACTTGAGAGATGCAGCACTTTCCATCCGACCGAAACCAGAAACTTCGAGCAACGGTAGCCGATCGCCAGTTTTTTGACTGAGTGTATCCAAACCACACCAGCAATCTAGGATCGGTCTTAGAAAATTCACTCCATAGAAGACTTTTGAGTATACATGACCAATTTTAAGTCCTTCACAAAAGCCTGTACATTTCGATAATCACTTCGTCCCGCGTAACTCTCAGTTGACCCGAAAAGTATTCTACCATTAGAATTTAATCTGCCTGCTACTGCAAGCAGTGGCCCTGGGTATTCGGATTATTCGACCGAGGAACTCTTTGCGATACGCTCAACCAAGTGCTGCTAACGTTACAAACTTTTCCCCCAATATATCAGCTTCATTTCGAATTTGAATGATCATATGTGGATTACAATAGATGGGACACGTGACTTCCTATCTTTCTTCTACTAGGGGAAAAGATAAACAACACAATTTCCATCTCTCACTGTTTCTGCTGTCCGGTACAGAGTGACGGCGGTGTGAGGCAAAACCAAACTGGGATGGCCTTCCTTCGTCCTACTATCCCCCTCCCCTAATCCATTTTTATCTGCATTTTTTCGTAGATTCCGTCATGTTCTGTCGTAAGCCGTCATGAACTATTGATCCTAGATGGATCGGACTAATTTTATACAGACATCATGCGCTTCCTGTGAAATTGCGTTACTACGGGTTGTGCGCGCACATTTTACACTAAACCGTATCGGGTGACGTTTTTTCTCAGGGTGTACTATTTCTGTAAAGTTTTTATAACTTTTAAGACCTTTCTAGTCAGTTTGTACGTGAATTATCACATTGATATTTAAAGTCGTCTTACGTGCCGTACCACAATCTCAGAACCTTAGCTTTCCTAGCTCGTTACTTCGCGTGTCACTCGACTAGACTTCACAAACTTTTACGTGTTCTACAGTGACGAATGAACCGGTTGATGACCTAGGGCTACTGCAGGTAGGCTCAAGGAGCAATAGCTCCGCCATATTCTGTACCAACATGTGCTGCCGCGACTCGAACTTATGACTGAGTAAACGAGTGCCTAATCGGGAGTTTCGTAAGTCGTGCCACATCGTTCCCAGTCCAAGTAAACCTTGAAAACCACTCACCAGCTGTTGATGAACTTCGGTTTGCACTTCGTTCATGCGAGTGCTTTGAGTGATTCAGTGTGATTCACACCTAAAATGTATGGGGTTGATTGTGTAAATAACTCGAAACGTTGGCGTTCCCACTGGAATCCCTCCAGTAATCTCCCTGCGTCCTCCTTTAGGGACCCATGTTTGAATTATAAGTTGTTGCGTGCCAGGCGTAGCCCTCCTCATATTTACAGGATACCACTTCCCGCATCAACAGCTGTTCAGAAAAAAACTTGTTTCTAGATATGAAGCTTCCTACCTGAATGAACAAGTCCCGTCAGCTCCCAATACCATCAAATAGTTTTCATCAGTCTTTGTATCATTCATATATAATAATGTAAGAATGTTTGGTTTCTTCTCTTTCCCCAGGCTATATTGTTCCCTATCAATTTTTAAAGGACAACGCGCAGTTCCATGGCTACGGAGAGACCGAATCCGCGTATCTCCTCGCATCTCTGGGCATACTTAACACAATCGGGAGGCTTATCTCTGGTGAGTGAAAGTGAGCATCGGCACTCTTCCACAATCCTGCTCTCACTCTACCAATGCAAATTCATCTGGGGACAGGAACAGTAACGTAAACAGCAGGATAACCAGTTATTTTATTGCTGTTCACTGTCCCCTGGTTGGTTCTCATGTAAAACAAACCGCTAGTTTGGGGTTCATATGTTGTCTTCCCGAATGTAGTACACATACACATGTCCTGCATGGGAGCAGTAGTAAAGAACGTATAGAATGCAATATCTACTTATCGACCTCATTACATCGCTTGTTGCTTTAGACTTTTGTAGTAATGCTATCGTCCCTATCATCTGTTTTGTACATCATACTAGTAATCCATATGATATTACAGCGGGAACCACGGCGTTGCCACCCAAAACGCTCCAAATGATAGGTTTAAGTGAGCCATTCTATGTTCGCATGAATCGTGCGACGAATTCGGTTATTCACGTCATCCATGTTGTACTTAGCTGAATATTAAAAATTTCGGATCTCTCAAAGAAGGCGCAAGAAAGACAGTCTAGTGCTTGTAGGGGAACTCCAACAGAAGGACCAAACACATCGAATGTATAAGGAATATTAATGACCGCATCGAACTCCATGTAATTTTATTCCCAGTTTTAAATAATTGTTTCCAATTGTCTGTCCCTTTCCATTCGGTTTGTCTTATTCTGGTCTGTTAATTCAGATCCTTGTGCTGTTCACATGTTTAGCAGTCTATTTTTTTAAAATTAGAATTACCAGACTTCCATGCCTTGCAAATTCACATTCTTTACCTTAAAAGTCTAAATTTGACCAGAACGAATGCGATGTGACCGAGTTCAGCATTAGACTCGATCACTTGCTGGACATGTGATCACAACAGATCGCACGCCCAATCGTTTTTTACTAGTAGGACCCTATTAGTTAATACATGTAATATTGCAGACATCCGAATCATCGGTATACCATCAAAACGTATGGACTGTCTTGGACAAAGTAACACAGCTTTGGGATATTAATTCCTAACCTCTCACGCCTGATCTCATAGAAAATTCCACTGTACTCCAATATGTTATATTCTCTTCGATGATGTATCAGTCAGACACGTTAGATCACCGGAATGGACAAAACAAACAACTTCGAGGAAGTTATACTGCAAGCAAGTGGATCGTTCTGTAGTACGGAATTCAACTGAACCAGAATATAAAAAGAGCTAACAGTTCAACAGGATGTCAGTGAGAGGCAGAAATGTAAAAACAAGGTTTCAGTATACAGGACAAATCGTCAGTTAAATGGATTTGTTCGTTTGGAGGTAGTCCTAACACAATACAAGGTTAAACAGGCCAAATTCGTGGGATCTAATGAGGTTGTCCGAAAATGAAGTCTACAACTCAATGGCACAACGAACAAACCCTTCATGATCGTGAGAATTATGAGACGATTTTTGTAAATAATAACCGGAAATTCTCTCAGCGATGGTAGTCATTACAAGGTTCTCTAAAACGTTTCTTGATCACAGCAGTGACATACTGCTCACAGTGTGCAATTTGAGTAGCCGCTTCCGGTTAGATCACGTTTGTTTGATGTCCCAGAGTGGCTACTCAACCGGATTTTGAGTGCCCACCATGCGTCTGCTCTAGTCCATCAGGGGCGTTGGAATAGAGTTCATAGCTTTTACCTTGATGGCCTCGATGTGACAAGCTATTCACACTCTACAGTCTAACCTATCTGCCAACTGGAGCAATCGGTCACCGGAAGCAGCCTGACGGGTCTTCAGAAGCTCTTATTGATCTCAAGCATGAAAGGGAGGTAGGAATGTGTCCTCAGCTGCAACAATTCAGTGGCCTATTTTGTCAAAGCACCAGATTGTCACCAGCTTATCCCAAGGTTGTTTTAATGTGTGACATCAGTTTTCCCCAGAAGGACGGTTGCTTGGTGCTCAAGTCTGTATCTTCATTTTGAGGTGTTTTGTTACCAGGCCATGCGACAGCATCATCATCGTCGACAGCTTGACATAAGTGTTCAGCAACAATGCTCCGCTGCGGTACAACTATGATTTATTTGAAAGCCTTATTGTGGAGAACAGAATGAAGATAGATGGCGAAGAGACTTAGTGGTAGCTTACTATAATCACTGCGAGGTGTCTATACCTCCAAACACTCACTCAGGCAATCTGGATAGAAGCTGACAGCAAGATCGCCACTGACGTCGGTTGGCAACCATATCTTGCAGCGTCTTCAACCAGGGGTAGTGAGAATCACGCGGTCCCCATCCTGGAAGGCGAGTAGCACCGATAGCACCCAAGCGTTTCGTGATCTCCTTCATACTCCTCTGCCAAGTCAAGATTTGGCCGCCACTCTGAATTGGGCATAGAAGACAGCACTCTCTTCAGCAAGCGATGGTTTGGCATACGCAACACATGTCCCAACCAACGCAGCTTCTGGTGCTGGACACTTTCTTCAATGAACGTACCCGTTGTACAACCGAAAACTCACTTCCTAATTGCCTCGTTACGGATGCGCCGACACCAATCCACATGAGCTGTAGTTCTGAGACACACGACACCTATAGTAAAATCGGCGTTCTTTAGCCTGACAGCGCAATCAGACTGTACACCTTCAATCATCCATCTAACTACTAACTAAAGGCGAAGTCGAGCTCTGGTTATCTAACGAGCTATGCCCCTTTGTGTTAGCCTGAAACAACTGGTTGAGGACAAACGCTAGAGTCAGTCGGAAAAGGAAACAACCACAACGTACATCCGAACATTCACTGAAGCAGGTGAACGTGGCGAGCGTTACTGTATTTACACTGATGAAAATCCACAAATGACTTAATGACTTAATTCTCCACTGTGGGGTGATTTCTTTTCATTGGTAGCATTCCGGGACCAAAGCGTGACATCTGGCATGAAAATTTGATGATTCATGTGCTGAAATCTGCACGCTTGTGTAAAGCAGCAAAATACGATCTGGACTTCTCGATTTTTCAGAATAAAATGGCAAACTTGGGCATTCCACAGACAGAGGTGTGTGGTTACATGACCGTCCAAATAGCTGGCGTGTTACGTTGACATGGTGGAAGGCCTGGGTACTCACAAGAAATTCGCCTTTAATTTTCGCAACTGAGCGTACTCGGAGTTGAGACCTGGTTGTTAGGATAATTGACGGATTGAACGAAAAAGACTCAAGTGAAGTTTTGTTGTGAGTTGTAAATGTAGAACTTTGTACTTCCGATAGTACACTGGGAAAGGCACCTACTTACGGTGCTAACCCCACATTTAAGTCGTACTCACTTAAAAGCCTTTTTATTCTTACTTACGGTTGAACTGAGTTGCACCTATTCCCCTCATCACACTCACTTTGTCACTTTCAGAGGCTGCTCCAAGCGCTTTGGGTCTCCTACCTATAGAGGTTGGCAGATATTTACACGTTACTTGTGAAACCCTGTCATATCAACACCGGCATGAATACAATAAAACACAAAAGAATGCGGTCACCTATTCAGTGTCGGGTTATTGTACAGGAATTCGTGGAGTCCAAGGCTAGAAATAGCTTACAAAATCACAACTGATTTCATATTTAGATCACGGTTAGATGCCAGTAAGAAATTCAATTACGTGTTAGCAACGCAACAGGCTGTGTTTCGCTGGTCTGTTGAAAACGTAAAAAAGATGATGATTCATATATTACAGTGTGGACACATCTCATAAATAGCGTCAGGTGGTTTAGAAAGTCGTGTGAACATAGGCTGGAATATTCACTGCATTGACAGGTGAGCTGACCCGATTTGAAACATAAGATTTCGAAATAGCAGTTATAAGAACCATCTGATCGATACCTTTTGCCGAATTTTTCTCATTTTCTTGCCTGGAATTTTGGAAGCCCAGTCTCCGATTGTCTGACAGTAACAATCTTTTCACCTCTGTTCGGCGCGAACACCACTATCGGCTGGTGCACCGTTTGTTTGCTCATGTGTACCTTAACGCTCCTCATTATTTCTGGATACAGGCTGGCTTTCCGATCGTCCTTGGGTCAACATCGTTCTGGTCAACAATGTCTCGCTGCTCGTTTCTGGAGTCGCTACAGCCATCCTGCCTTTGTTGCGCACCTACTCAGGAATGATGTTCTATGCCTGTTTCTTTGGATTCGTCATAGGTAGGTAACAGTAAATATTGATCTACTACGTGCCCGTTTAAGTGTATGACGGCTGTGTGTATCTATCCCCATTTCGGGCATCTCGGAATAAATATACGCGCGACAACATTGACGCATCAGTTTGCGTCCTTTTTATCAAAATAGTTGCCACCCTTATTACTTGGATTCTGAGCTTCACTCGTGGTTCGGAGAGTGCCGGCTATTGAGTTCACTCACGACTACCTGTTGGTACGGTATTCTGGTATTCCATTTTTCTCGACTACTGTTTTATGGATCATCATTAGGCATTCATGAGACTGACAGTTTTTGCTCAGCATGCATCAATTTTTCTTATGGTAACCCCGCCCGATAAGTCTTAGTGTTTCATACTGATACCACCATGTCATCAACAAGCAATGATTTGTGTGCTTTTGAAATATGGTTCTGAATGCAACGAACCGACAAAATAGGTGGCGGCTAATGTGACTTACCGGCAGGAACCACTAAGTCAGATGTTGCATGTTCGGTGTGTCAAGTGATCCAGGGTCTGTATAACCATTTGTGTATATCCCATCTTCAATTGCTGTAATGTCCCTCCAGGGTAGATCTGTCAGCTACAGCAAGTCCTCAAAGAAGATTTCAGAGAAGAGGGAGCGTCCTTAGGACATGACACAATCGCTGTCAGCCGGGATCCAGAATGCGGCCCCTAGAAGGAAGGCCAACCGATTTCCTTTCGCTTGATGGTCAAAGGTTCCAACTGCTGCAGGGTTATCCGGAAGCAATCAAATGTGTATCTTGAATCGTTTGCTCCACATGTGCACGATGTCGAATTCATTCGATGAGCATAAATCACTATTCATCACCCACGACGAGGAGGTTCTTTCACACTGACTTGGATTTCGATCTTCGGAGTGGAAGCTGTTTAGGATTCAAACCTAGTATTAATATCAGATCATGCGCAGTCCGCTTTGCCCCGAATTTGCATTGTTTTACCTACAATTAAGCCCAAGGTAGTCCTAAAATGATATAGAGGTGATTTTCATTCGTTTGGAACTTGTTCGTTGTCTTTTAAGGGTAATTTCTGCATGTTTCAAATCCGCCGTAGCTGCGTTTATCGCTGTACGAACAATTCTGATTGTGGAACTGATCGGCCTGGATCGTCTCAGCAACGCGTTCGGATTTCTCCTCCTGTTTCAAGGCATTGCTGTTGTCGGTGCTCCACCCGCTCTAGGTAGGTTGGTTACATAACCCGTCATCCCTGTACTCGTGCGTTATTCTCATTGGACTGTGTCTACATTACTATCTTTAGTGTTTTCGGGCTATTTTTCCACCGTTCTTTTCGCTAAATATTTCCGTTTAGTATTCGTTGTGGCATCGAGAAATATATAGCTTAAACATTTGTTGTCTACCTAATGTACACTGCACCGTACATTGTACCTACAATGTACCTACACTTACTGGAAATGAAAAGTGCATTCAGATAGCCAGAGTACTTGTACAGGATCCGTGAAAAGTGTTCGGTACAGAGAATATCTCTTAACTTTCTTATTTCTCAGCCAGTTGTGTGAAGGTTTTCCGGGCAACAGACTTCAACTTATTTGAAGCGACCTTATGGTTTAACATCTGATTTGACTGTAAGTTAGGTTACCCGGATTAAGGCTCATGCACGTCGTATGTTACAACTGACTTCTGCGCACAATATCTTCCGGATAAGTGGTTATTCTCGTTTCAGCCATTTCCGTGTTTCTTGATCTTGTTAAAAATCCTGTAATCCGGCTTTGAATACCTGTGCGGCGCAGCAGAAGGAGTCGGTCTCATGGCTTTCGTGGGCATTTCAAACAGGCTTGTCATGGTCGACGTTACAGATTGCCATAAGAGATCAAACTAGAGCAAAGTGTACTAATTTAACGTTATGTCACCTGAATTTCCATGTGGTGAGTCGAATGAAGCTTGGACATTTTTCGACCCGCTAGCTCGGCTGAATAACTAGTGTGATGGTCCTTCAAAGCCTTAACTAAACGGCTGTCTGCTTGAACATTGCAGATTCCGGTCTAATGGAGTGTGGTTTGTGCCAAGCCTTAGGTAAAGAGACCTAGCAAATTGCTTGGCCAGAAAACAGTTCAGCACAACAAATCCATGTTGTTAGGCCAATTTTAACTAGCAAAACGCAGACACATGCATCCGTCAAAAACAATGAAACCAGTTTTATTGGACGCTGTATTGACCCGAAACTTGGTGCCAATATGCGAGTCACTTTCCATCATACGGCTCCTGTTTCATGTAGTTGTATATTTTTGAACTGTGCGACGAGATTCATGTGAGATTAAGCCGTTTACAGAGTTCGGTAACCAAACCTGATCTTCCTACTTCTGAATTCACCATTATTTCTACCGTAACTCAACTTTTACCAGACCTAAGACTACTCCCAACCTCAATAATGTCCCTGAACCCAGACATCATCCCTACTAACAGCATATACCTAGTATGATGTGTACTCTACCGCAGTGCTCCCAGTGAAAAATCTGAAGCAACGCCATAGATGTTTAATTGAAAAAAAAACATTTTCTGGATAACGAAGTGATCTGTGAGTTCAGTCGATATGTGTGTGCACTGGTGTCACCCTATACAGGTTGACGGTACATCGTTTACGGTGGTGCCACCTCTCCTGAATATGGGTTACCGGCTCCAACAACTAACCTTACAACTGCAATTGACCGCCATTCCAAAATTTCCGAATCATATTCGGTCTGGCCTAATCCTCCGAAAGGAATTTCGAGGTTAACAAAACGCTTATCCTTTCGGCCCACACACAAGGCCGCGGCGGTCCGTACTAGCCAAAATGAACTCTACTTTCTCCAGTGATCATATCGCTTCAGACTTGGATTCCATCGGTTTTATAGATCTTCCAAAAGATTAACCATGCTTTTGTATGTGTCTGAAAATTGATTTTCCGCCATAAGAGGCTGACTTGGATCAATTTCCCCAACCCTATGGATCAATTTGCAGGCCTAATTTTGGTACGGAGCTCAGTTTACGCGGTCTATTTTGGAATTGATTCGCCATCGTATGTTGTTGCATGTCTGGACCGCACTGTCGACGCAGAATGTCGTTTCTATTTCGTGACTGAACGTTGATGTGTAACACCAGACTGTCAGAATTCTCTTGTGAGAAATAATAACCGAAGCGGAGTATTTTGGCAAGTTAGATGGAGTTTTGTGGATAAAGGCGTTCTACAAGTAATCCATTAATTAATTCGAATTCATGATGGGCACTTTTGTGTGAATTCGTATTTGGTGTGACAATTCTCTGAACAGTTAATATCAGTTTGTTTAGCATCGGGACCTGCGTCTCAGTTTTGACCGCCAGTTTTATCTCCATTTGAAAGCATAGGAATGTAAGAGATTTTTCGCACAATGTTTCATCTTACTAAAAGCCCTACATTTAACTGCCTTCCTCCACTACAATTGACGTCTTCTTCCCTTATTCGCTTTTACTGATCTTTATCGCCAAGCAGAACCCCTAGCTAATCTGAAATTCTGTCTGATTCTCAGTGTAGCTTTTGCTGTGTGTGAAAACAGACGCAGAGGAAAAATCACAGACTACAACCAACCCAGTTGCTTACGTTAGTACGATTTGGCAAAGACCAAATTCGGTTGTCCCTCAAGAATTAAGAACCTAATATATCATGAGCACTGTTCATAGTCGCGCGGTTATATTATAGAATATCTGTTGCAAATGAAGTGGAAGCGACGTGACGCTAATCATCCAAGCTGTTTCCACGATCCTTTCCCTTATTCTACGTGGGCTTTGATGTGCATTGCATAATTCCATGCGTCTGTTAAGGTTAGTGAGTATGCGTTTCGGCCGGTTCACTAGCCGTAACACAGTGTCATATGAGTCTCGCACGTGGCAGTTAAGTAGTAACGAACGTGTATCTAATATGCCATATATCCCCCCTCGAAAGGACGTGTCAACAGCGAAAGAAAAACATCTGTCGCACGTGATGCCACGAATGGTTGAATATCCTTCAGGACACAACAAGAAATGTCCAATAAGTGGCATTAATCTGCGGTTGCGAAATGTGTGTTGACTATCCTCAGGTAAAATCGCACCTCATTATCGTTTACCAAGCCAGCTAGGATGCCCATTGTGGGGAATCAGTACAGTATTCTCTCTTCAGGATAATTCAAACAAATAGTACCCACAAAACGGAAGTACTTTTTCCTGCTTAGAATCGTTTTGCAATAAGGATCCTTATTTAGTGAAGAAGAAATGCTCTTTAATCTCCCAGCCTCAGAAACAGATAGCACACTGTGCTCCCATTGATCAACGTTTTCCCATCGGTGAGTAAAACACCGTCAGCCGGACAAAACTTCGTTCATCTTCCATATCTCCAACACAGTGCCGATCGGCCTCCGTAGTGGACACTTATCAAGCTCATCCTACTAAGTGGTTGCCTATTAAAACGCATCACTTCTTTGCCTCTCTCCTGGATCGACCGTTTACTCGTCACATTTTGTTAAAACAAATTCTGAAAGACTAGCTTCCTTGTCTGACCAGCCCTATGTGAATATGCCAGTTGGTTTGTTCCTGCGGAGCATGCCACATTAGTATAAGAATGAGGAAGTTGTCGAATCGTTCGTCTGACTGTTAGGAGCAGATACACACCCAATCAATAGCTTAACCCTAGCACTTCCACTAGACACAGGGCACCCAATGAATATCGACACCACGTTAACTGTTATTCAGTAGTCCAGACATTGGCCCCAGACCTCCGCACAAACCTAAACCATTCGACTACGAGTGGCTAATCAGAACTGTGAGTAACTCGCACGTGAACAGGACAGAGCGCCACTCGTCCTTATATCACGGAATCCACATCACATTGCTAGGTTTTGCCGATTCCTTGACTGACGACTTATCAGACATATGATCTTTCCAACTCGTGAATTGATTCTTCCTCTGAGCTACTTACAGATTGTTGGTAGTATGGGGAGATTTGGTACACTCGATGGAGGTTTCGTGCTGTAAGTGAGGCCAATCTGTGCGTGGCCTTCCCGCTTCATAGGGCAAAATCTCTATTTAAAATCTCAACTCCTGTTACACAACCATCGAACCTTGAATGACTGTTGTCGGAGGAATACCACGTGTCCCAGGAAAAGTGTTTCCTCGCTCGCGTTTCCTTCTCATTTCATCCTTCGGCTTGTTTCGACACTACCTATGTCGATTAGTGGTGTACAGTACCACCACGTCACTACAGGCGGAACCGATGAAAAATATCAGCAGGTATAAGATTGAGTCACACTTGTCACATCGACAGATTTAAGCGTAACAACTTTCGTTCTGTGATTGCTTCCCTACGAACCGGATCCCATAATTCCAGCCGAAACAGTTCCACTCATCTGCAGAGCAAGTTAGTATGAAAGGGCTTCAGTTTGATTGGATTGATTTACTCTGCCGTATGAGACAAACAAAAATGCGGCGCTTTCAATAAGTGGTCTGGAAAAATTAACCTAACGAGCAACAGAGTTTTTATTGACGGCATTGTGATTATCTCCATACTCTTCGAACAAAATAACTGGAAACCCAAGTTGCCTGAAGGCCTTAGTTTTCTCTGATGAACTTAGTGTAATGCAGGGATGGTGCTAGAGCTGATATACTGAATGGAATGTTAATTAGGTCAATATTTCGGCCCCGATTCAACATAAAGTCACGAAATTTCATGCTCAGTTTGGCAATGAAGAAACGGTAACCAGGAGTTTATACAGTACGCAGCGTGTACAGCCGAAAATCCCAAAAACACAAATCATGCTCACTAAGTCGGTATTAAGTGACCTAGTGGCCATGAATGACATGCGAGCCGTGCTCAGCAATGTGCATATCATGAAGGGGATGGATGTTTAAACCATTAGATTCAGTTAGCAGATGGCACACAATCCATAGACGTCCAAGCCAATGGAGAGAATACTTGGTGAGCAGAGGATTGCTAAGGATTTGAACCAGTCATCAGTGGTCACTTCCATTGTCCTCATTGATCCATACGAGTATGCCTCGAGAGAACGCGCTATCTGATCGAGGGTCCCGAAAGAGATAGAAGATGCCTAGGTGCAGCATTCAAGCAATAAATTAATCTAAATTGAAAGTGTGCCGCTGAGTCGATTAGAATGGGCCAAAAGTACTAATTAGTGGAGGCACGCTGTTTGTGAACGGCTTCAAATAAGGTTGCCTATAGTGCCGGATCGGTGGTACCTGCGAGCAGCAGTTTACTACCAATACTTAATTTCAAACACACGGTTACATCTGCTATTGTGATTAACAATTTAGTGTTACCCGATGCCTGAGCTGAAAATGTTCTCTGTCAACAAAGTAACTCTTGGATGCACTAACCTCACGTCGGAGAATCACCGAATACGCGTTCAAAATGAACGGATAGACAACCATAACCTGAGGTATCGTAGAAAAAGAAGTGGATTCATACGTATTTCACCAGGTAGCTCATTATCATAAGAAATTTACCTAAACATTGGTGCACAATAACTATTAGCAGTGGTCTGTTTTTGAACATTGGACCCTGAATCACGACCGACGGAACCGAATTCAAAGCTGTGTGTCTAAACAACTCGATTCGAGCTCCCCAAAATCCATGCATTCTTGTTTACATTTCTTGATAACTTCATTCGTACCATCAGTTTTCTTCCGGGTCGCAGTTTGTGTTAATCCAAATGTTCCACGTTCATCGTGACTGGATCGATTCTGCTTCAGTTCATATCATACGGAACCCTATATAAGTTTCAGTAGAATTCATCTACATCCTGAGAAAATGATACCTTTCACAACCGTTTTGTCTGGCGTTTTTTGGATCATTTAAATCTCACTGGGCACAAAATAAGAAGAAAAATACGCTCTAGTGCACATGTCTTGAATGAAAGATCTACTTCAGTGAGTGGAACTGGACCACTTAGTTCCGTCCGCCAGGCCGGTGCTCAAACACCTGGACTTTCTCAGGTCCAGTCGTCTAGGGAACTTCGTCTCCACTCTTAATTCTATATTCCCCTTCATACTTATCTTTCAACTGAACCCCTAATCACAGTTCTACTGTTTAGCCCACTACCAGTGGTTATAATCGCTTTCCACTTCGGCGTGTGGGGAATATTCGAACAGTCTTGCATCCTTCTTTTTTACAAGTATGTTGCAACGACGCACGAGAAATCATCTAAATCATCTAAACCAGTGAATTTGCAATATCAAACAACAAGCTAATATTGACAACCAGATACTGTCCATTTACAACAATCTTAGTCTTGATTCGTTTCCGTATCTTTGTTCTCCTCCCAACAGGATTCATGTATGACACATTCGGGAATTTCAACGTCACATTTATTTTTGGCGGTATCGCGCTCTTCGTTTCCGGTCTACTTTGCATACCCCTGTCAAGTGTGGCCCGATGGGAAAGAGGCAAAGAACTCGCCACACCGGAATGGGAAGACGAAAATGTGGAAGGGTGTTTCCGAGCGCCAACCAAATGCATACGATTAATGAGGGATTGTTGCCTCACACGTTGTTGTCCTAAAAGATTTGACTACGAGACCAAAATGGAAGGGGTTTCTGACTTTCAACTGTATGATGTAGCTTGAGGTTTCCACTTTCTATGCAGACGCATCACATATACATGTCTATAATCCATACTTTCACATGCCATTCGAAATATTCTTGTACACGAACAGCGCCTGATATTTTCATCTACCACTTCTGCTACCCTTCTCGAATTTGTACCAAACTAGTCTCTTCTCCATTCCCCAAAAGCTCAAGTGGATTGGACGAGTATCATCATATACGATGTATTTCTACACTTTGAGTCGTCTAGTCCTCTTAGTTGGGACATTCCTCTCCGATTCCACCAGTTGGAAACATGAGCACTCAAAAGCCAGAAATCGGTGAAACTGATCAGCGCCGTCCTTTGTTTCGTCACTCGAAAGATGAAAACGGTTTATTTATGTATGCTCGCCCTTTTCCTCCAAGTTTGGTTGTTTCATGTTGTCCCTCTGTCGCGAAGACAAATGGACAGTCTTTTGTGTCCCCATCTGGATCAGACACCTACACACGGTGGTATACATATATTTTTCACCTGTTGTGAAGACCATATAATTTTTAAAGAGGGTTACGCTGCGTCCTCTCTTACTGTTCCTTACACATGTGACAAGTAAATCGAAAACCCGCAGAAACAAGCACTTCCTCAACTGGAGTTGGGACCTGTACACAATGTGTAGTTCAACATAATTAATAATCGATCGATATCATCTTATTCATGTGTAAGCGAGCAGCAGACCCCTAGCTTGCCTTTGGACCGTGGCGGTTATATGTCTGTTTTTATTTAATTAATCAGGAGCAGGCCTTGCAGCTGTTCACTCTGTAGGTTCTCGTTAGACTTTCAAATGTCCGAAAACTCTATGTATTTCCGATTACTTTGAACCTAAAATATTTAGGTTTTCGGGGAATCGACGCATACTCTGTATGGGATTGGTTGTTCCACTGTCACCCTTAGCAAGTTGTTTTTGGAATTTGCTGTAGTGAAAGATGAGGAGTAACCGTGTGAACCGCGATGCGTGATAGTGATAAATGCACACCCGATAACACGGCTGAAGCACTGCAGTTTTCTGAACAACCGTCGTGGTTTCAACCCATACAATCGCTTGTGTGCAGTCAGCTGGTAATTCACACATTATTATCATCTTAACTGCTACCACACTCAAACGACAAACTCCAGTGATGGTGAAACGCGCTATGGATTAGACTAACGACGCCCCTTTTCTCCACAGGACTGTGGGTCGTTTTCTTCTAGGATCTGCTCAACAGTGCAACCTCTATAGCGGGGAGTTACGAAGTTTCCATGTGGCATGTTGACCCGAATGAATGACACACGAATGGTTAGACTACTAGAAAGGAAGCAGACGGGAAATTCGTATCATGCGTGTGCTTCCGCTCAGGAGGGATCTTTTAAACAGTAGTGTGCAGATGACAAGAACAAACTCCTGAATATGGGAACCCTCGAGTTATGGTGGATGCACAGGTAAGCCTCCTTTCTCGGAGTGAGTGAAATTCTTCAATCTCAGGACGATTCCAACCAAAACCCATTTGGAGCCTCGTAGAACGAATCGGTTGGCGCGTTGGATGCACAGCCTCCTTTCTCGGAGTGAGTGAAATTCTTCAATCTCAGGACGATTCCAACCAAAACCCATTTGGAGCCTCGTAGAACGAAACGAATGGCGCGGGTTGCGGCCACCGGAACTCTAGATTGTTTTGGTTTCATGAACACTGTTACCAGAACGGAACTGTTAATTGTCTAAAATTTCGTCCTAACTACGGACTGATCGTTTCTGGTCAATTCTCACATTCTGCTTATATTTGTCGTCACCACACGTTCAGACACCAGATTGCATCTTGCTGAGTCCCTATTGATTTATCCTCGCTCCGCTCTCACGTGTGACTCCTATTGGTCGTTGCATTTCGTTATTTTTCTGCTCAATCGTGCATAACTGTTGGGTTCCTATTGGTTATTCGGTTGAAGAGAGAATCTCAGCCAATTCATGCCATTTCTTCCGATGTATATAAACCGCCTTACTTCGCGGCAAAAAAGACCTGTTCCTGTGCTCGACTTTGGCTTCTTCCTTACGCGAGTTGACGGGTTACCTCCGGACGACACAACAACCTTGGCGACGGATTGTGTGGACAAAATGGCAATTTCATTCGAACAAATGCAGCAACTCCTCCAAATCCAACAGAAACAATTTGAAGAATCCCAGAAACAGCTGATTGAAATGCTTTCAAAAAAATTGAACCTCAAGTCCGAAACCGCTGTGGACAAGAATCAGCCATCAGTTGATGCCATTGCTGCTTCCATATCCGAATTCGCTTTCGATGGTTTATCAGGAGTGACATTTGAATCGTGGTTCCAGAAGTATGAAGACATCTTCCGAGTAGAGTTGGCAAATCAAGATGATTCTTGGAAAGTTCGTCTCCTGCTGAGAAAACTCGGTGCAGTGGAACACGAACGATACTCGAATTTTGTGCTGCCGAAAAACCCACGTGAATTTTCGTTCGATGAAACTGTCCGGACCCTGACCCAAATTTTCGGAGAACAGGCATCTCTATTCAGCATCCGATATAATTGCCTGAAGCTCACAAAGTGTGACTCCCATGATTTCGTCACACATGCCGGGATAGTAAACAAGGAGTGTGAGCGTTTCAAGTTGGCTACCATGACACCAGACCAACTGAAAAGTCTCGTGTTCGTCTGCAGCCTACAATCGCATTCAGACGCAGACATCCGAACACATATACTCCACAAACTGGAACAGGAGCCAGACCTGACGTTGCAAGCCATCACAGCCGAGTGCCAAAGGCTGATAAACTTGAAACACGATACTAGAATGATCGAGAGACCCGGTCATCAGGAAGAGCCGCAGGTTTGCAGAACGATGGTCAAGCACACTAATTCTCACGATGTTGCTCGAAATCAGAAACCTCCAAGCGCTTGTTGGCAGTGTGGTGAATGGCATTTTTCCCGTTTCTGTCCATTCAAGAGTCATCAGTGCCAGAACTGCAAGAAAATCGGTCACAAAGAATCACACTGTCGACCCAATCGCAAACCCATACGAGTGCGTCCAACCCCCTCGTACAAACAGCATAAGCCCAACCGATTTCGAAGATCTTGGTCCAAAACAAAGGCTATTCTGGCAGCCTTTCGAACTGATTTCAATTTGTACAGAAAATACGTAGCGGTTACCGTCAATGACGTTTCATTGAAACTACAACTTGACACGGCATCTGATATCACACTGGTATCTCGAAATACTTGGAACAAGCTGGGACGTCCGATACTCAAACCAACCGAATTGGTGGCGCAGAACGCATCCGGTGACCAAATGGATCTTGACGGTGAAATGGAATGTGAAGTGGAATTCCGGGGTATACGTTTCTCAGGAACCTTGTTCGTATCGTCCAATGCCGAAATTAACCTCATGGGTATGGATTGGATTGAAAATTTGGGGTTATTGGACATGCCATTGAACAAGGTGTGTACCCAATCCGAGGCTGATGTACGCCGGACTGCTGTGCCGACCTACGTTCGAGTAACTTCAACGGAGCAACTTTGTTCAAGATACGCAGACATTTTCGATTCCAAACTTGGCCATTGCACAAAAATGCAAGCAAAATTGACGCTGTTACCAGATGCCAAACCAATATTCAGACCTCGACGACCGGTCCCGTACGCATCCCAGACTTTGGTTGATGAGGAACTTGACCGACTACAACAAGCGAACGTGATTGAACGGATCAATTTCTCTCCATGGGCAGCTCCAATCGTGGTGATCAAAAAGCCGAATGGTACTATCCGATTGTGTGCAGATTTTTCGACAGGATTGAACGCAGCGCTCGAACCCCACGAATATCCACTGCCACTTCCAGAGGACGTTTTCGCAAAACTGAACGGTGGAAAATACTTTGCAACCTTGGACTTGGCGGAAGCATACTTACAACTCGAAGTTGATCCAGAATGTCGGAAACTTCTCACGATAAATACCCACCGTGGATTGTACCAGTATAATCGCCTGCCGTTCGGGGTGAAAACTGCGCCCGCAATTTTTCAACAACTCATGGATACGATGCTATCAGGAATCCCCGGTGCTGCCGCCTATTTGGACGATATTATTGTGATGGGCAGTACAGAAACCGAGTTGCTCCAACGATTGGACGAAGTTATGAGCAGAATAAGGGATTATGGATTACGACTCCGAGCGGAAAAATGCAAACTATTCATGAAATCGATCAAATTTCTGGGTTTCATAATCGATCAACATGGACGTAGACCGGACCCGGAGAACATCGAAGTAATTGATCGACTACCGGCACCAACGGACATCACCACACTGAGATCGTTCCTTGGGATGATCAGCCACTACAGTGAATTTCTGCCGGAAATGCATCGACTACGGTACCCGTTAAATCAACTTTTGGCGAAAAATGCAGAGTGGATTTGGACCAGAGAGTGTCAGCAGGCCTTCGACAAACTGAAATCACTACTGAAGTCTGATTTACTTCTAACATACTACAACCCGAACTTGGAGATAATCCTAGCGACCGACGCCTCCAGCTACGGGATTGGAGCAGTGATTTCGCATCGATTTCCGGATGGGTCAGAAAAGGCCGTGGCACACACTGCGCGAGCTCTGACGACGACCGAAAGAAATTACAGTCAAATTGAAAAAGAAGCATTGGCCATAGTATTTGCGGTGCAAAAATTCCACAAAATGCTGTATGGTCGCCGATTTACACTCCTGACGGATCACAAACCGCTTTTGACAATCTTCGGATCAAAGAAGGGAATTCCGATATATACAGCCAGTCGATTACAACGATGGGCCACGTTGCTGCTGGGGTACGATTTCCAAATGAAATACCTATCTACGGATTCCATTGGACAAGCCGATGCCCTATCCAGACTAATCGACACTGAAAAACGAGGATCTGAAGATACCATCATCGCTGCAGTGAAAACAGAACCAGACGTCAGTTACCTATTGCATGACGCAGTACGTTCCTTACCAGTCACAGCCAGGATGATTCAAAAGGAGACAGCACGCGACTATATCCTACAGGAAGTGATTAGCTACGTTCGTAACGGTTGGCCAAAGAGATGTCCGAGGAAAGAACTATCACATTTTTTCACCAGACGTGAATCATTATCAGAAATTGAAGCGTGCTTGCTCTTCGGTGAACGGATCGTTATTCCAGAAGTACTGCGCAAAAGTGTCCTGAAACAACTACACAAAGGACACCCCGGAATCAACCGAATGAAGGCGCTTGCTCGAAGTTTTGTGTTCTGGCCAATGATGGACAGCCAGTTGGAAGAACTTGGCCGTTCCTGTTCGCATTGTGCATACGCATCAAAACGACCAATCAAGACAGAGCTCCAGACATGGCCAACACCCGATTTGCCTTGGTCGAGGGTTCACATTGACTTTGCCGGACCAATCTATGGAGCATCAATCATGATAGTGGTGGATGCCTATAGCAAATGGCCCGAAGCCATTGTAATGCAGAGCACGACAGCATCGTCCACGATTCGGCAACTCAGGCACATGTTCAGTCAGCATGGCTACCCGGA